TAGTGATCCGCCACCTTAATTCTGATTTATTAGTTAAAATCACCTCTACATAATACAAAATCTCTTTTGTGTACTTACCAATCGCCTGTCATTCTGTCAATGCTAACAAGCTTCTTCTATCAATAATGAAATTTGAACTTATGATTTTATAGGTTATGAGCTGACTCTTTATTAATGGGATCAATTCTTATTTGCAACTAGATTCTTTTTTTAATTATCTAAATGGTACTCCCTCCGTTCCTTATTATAAGAGACAAATAACCGAAGTACGTTGATCAAAAAAACAGTTAAAGTTAGTTAAGAACAATTAATGTATAAAAAGTATAATTTTTTTTCCAAAAATGCCCTCATTAATAAGGAGAGAGAGCATGAGAGAGAACAATTAAATTATTAAAAGAAAGAGAAGTGGAAGGGAGAGAGAGTGTGAGTTGGAGATAATAAATATGGGTAAAATAGTAAATCAACACAAAAAAGTAGAGACAACTTGTAAGTGTCTCTTATATATAGGAACATGACATAAGCATCAAGTGTCTCTTATAATAAGGAACGGAGGGAGTATTGGTCAAGGGGAAAAAGCAAAATTTTATAATAAAACAAAGGGAGGAGAATAAATCGTATTAATTCATAACACTTTAGGTCAAAATATCGAACGAAAGGGATAAATCAGATTAATTTCCCAAGCAACAGCTAACGAAAACGTAGTTCTTCACTCCTCCCGCCATTTGATCTGCTGATTACGGTCAAGAATAGGCAAAAATCAAAATCACGCTATATATATAAATTAATGGCTATTTTTAATTAAGAATGGTATAGAGTACAGATAAAGCGAGAAGATAATTACTGAAGCGCGACGAAGTGAAACAGCAATCAAGAGGTGGGCGCCTTGTTTGATTAATTAATTATGATGTTATTCCGTATTCGTTTTATTTGTATCGTTAATTAATGTTGTCCATAACAAGTACGTATGTGCAATTATTTTGTCGATTTACGGATAATGTGATTGTTCAATTTATTTTGTACTCCTCTTATCTTAAATACTACTATAAGACTAATTTTATAGTGTAATTTGTACTATAAAATAAGTTTTATATTTAAATATCATATTTTGCTACGTTCTTCATTGATGCAAGAGCCAAAGTATCTGTGGTTGAAAGTTGTTTTTGATACAAATGGCATGATAAACAATGCTAATTAGCACTATGCCCAGACCACCAACGATGTGCTTGCTTAATTAGTTGTTGCTCCTTGGCACCTGTGACACCGGAGTTAGCTGTTGAAGTCAGGGCCAAGACACTACAAAATGAATTTTATATCTAGGATTAGAGCATATTTTATACTATATGCTGATGGAATGTATTGATATTATATATTGGTAGTTTGGCACTAATATCGATTTATATCTAACTAGCAGCCTCGTATTTACAGTTTTAGTGTTGTAGCATGTATAAGCATTTGTGATTTGTTGTCACGGGCGAGCTGAACCCAAGTGTCCGCATCCGCTCACATTTATGCTATTGAAAATAAGCTTGTACTTTATTTGAGAATAAAATATAAAGAAAATGATTTTAGTTAATTCTACTTGGCTCAAAATCTCCAGTACTATAATCATTGTTAGAATTGTCCATTCGGTTTTGAGACGACTTGACACGAGATTTAGCCTGAAATTGCTTCTGGCCACACGATATGATTTTTTTTTTTTTTAGTACACGATATGGTTCTTTTCTAGCCCAGCAAAAGACCCGAGTCTGAATTGATTAGATAGTTTATGCATTCGTTAAGTTTTATTAGAATAATTTTAATTTTAATTAGTTTAAATCGGCTGAAACGTGTTCACGTGTGCCAGGCAATAGTTAATATGTACCTTAACTATTTTTCAAAATGATACTATTATGTTTCTTTAAATAAGAGTCTGTACGAAGGGAAAATAGGAGCGATGAGGATGATTGTATCATTAATTAGCTGATTGTTTAAAAAAAAGGTTCATGTTAAAAATAAATCAAGTTTATAAAAAGTCTTTGTAATGGTTTATAAGCAACTTTCCAACTGTACTTACAAAATACGAGATAAATATATGAAAAAATTGTTTTTAACTCACATAAAATATGCTTATAAGTAATTTTAATCATGATTATAAACGGAGTCAAAGTAATATTGACTCGGATTTTCTGTGTCAGGATTATTTTTAATAAAAAAAACCACTATATGCAAAATGATAAGCATATCCCAGTAACCGTAAGTAAAGAGCAGCACATACTGGACACGAAAAAATACTACCCCTGTCTTAACTATAAGATCTTATTCATAAACCACAAATAAAATCTTATAATTAGGATCGGAGATAATATAAAAAAATGGGACAGAACATAATAACTTCAAACACAGATATTATAACTACTACGATCTAACAACCAAATTAAAACCAACCGACAAACGAAAAGAATGAAACAACCAACTTTTAGTAGCAGGTTGATGTTTTGATATTAGTATTATCTGATTTCTCGACATAGTAGTGAACACAACTAACTAGAAGATTCATTTTTGTGTATATTTTGCCTGAACACATAAATGATTAAATTTAATTGTGCATAGTGTAAATGTTCATTTAGTCAGTGAGGCCCCATTTTTTCCCCCCACAATAGTAAAATGGTTATGAGCTAATACATACACGCATGTATATAATGAAACAATGTAAAATATAAAATTCACAATAAACTTTAATATTTATAAGTTCAATAGTGTCGCTGTCAATTATTTAATAGTCTATACATAATAAGTTAAGAAAGCCAAAGGTATTATATATGTGCGCGAGATGCGTTTGATTTTAGAATAAAAAGAGGGGGGAAAGGATTTTCTTTCCCTTTTTGGGGGACGAAGCAGTTTCATTGTTAAAGAGCGCTCTTGATAATTGAGGGCCGCTGCTTACATAATAAAGAGCACTGTAGCACTCACTCCAGTCATATATAGTTGATTATATTTCTTTATTTTCTTATCAGAGTAATTTTGTATATTTTTTTACACTGTGACTCTTGTACTTATACTGCTCCTTTTAAATGGGATTTTCTATTTATTTAAAAATGTAATTTTGAAATAATCATTAATTATTTATTTTTTTCGTGAAAAAAGAAAATTCATTGTCAAATAGTACTACTTTTGAAAAAGGAAAAAAAAGGAGCACTATTCAATACTTCTTCAACTAGCTTAGGGGTGTTTGGATGAAACCAAACCATAGTTTGGAGAATAGCTTCTGGAGAATAGATTTTGGGAAGAATAGATTTTGTAAAGAATAGATTTTGTGAAAAAGTGATTCTGAGAAGTGAGAGTGTTTGGATAGTTGTTGTGAGAAACACTTTTTATATATACAAATTACTAAAAAAAGCATAAGTTAATATGATAATTACATTTTAGATAGATTTTATGATATATTTTAATTTGAAAGAATAAAATTGTTAATAAAATATATTTGTACCAACATAATTAATAATACATAAAATAATATAATTATGAATAATTAATATATGTATACACATTTATAAGATATAATATTAATATGTTTATAAAAAATTAATTGAGAGATGTTAAAATCATGTTATTGTTGAGATTTACTCTCACAGGCACAATCATACTCTCCAATTTGAACCAGAAGTAGAATGGATTCACTTCTCCTGAAACCATGGTTTTGGATTCCAAAACCATGGTTTCGGCTCAAACCATGGTTTCAGATTATGGCATCAAAATTGATGCTGTTTGGGTGACATTCCACCCAAACCATGGTTTTGTCTCCCAAACTATGGTTTTGGGAGTCACCCAAACAGGCCCTTAAACAGGTTAATTGAATTAAATAAATTATTTAATTTTAATAAATGTGATATGACCTCCCTATAATATACCTGTGTAGCATTATATTACAGTTTAATTTACAAACTGAATAAATTAGTTTTGAGAAAAATGATAAAATTAAGAAATAAAATAAATTAAAATTTTACATTACTTTTAATCCTTAATATAAGATTCAATTAACTAATTTGGTGATATTAAAAAAATTATTAAATTACTTAATTATAGCATATGTTATATGACCTCTTTGAAATACTTATGTGACCATTAGATTATATTAATTTATAAGTGAGGTAAATTATTTTGAAAAAATAATAAATATAAATATTTTAATTTAATTTTTAAAATTTTTTAAATTAGTTAAATAGGTTTTGTGTTAAAAAGCGAATGTAGTATTTATGATTAAAATTAATTTTTAATTAATCGTCATGCTTAAAATGGAGGGAGGATTCTTACCAAATTAAAGTAGGAAGAAAGGACTCCTACATCTTGAGATACCTTGTCTTGCGATAATTGGTGAAATAAGGTTAACAAAAAATTATATCATTGGGAAAATAATCTGAATTTGAGCAAGTACAACTATAATATGTGAGTGCAACATATTTTCCGCTGTGTACAACAATAATCAATACGAAAATTATTTACACTCATGGATCATAATTATACTTGCTTAAATTTAGATCATTTTGGCTAATTAAAATTTTAACCAGGGATTTTTTTACCAATTTTCTTATTATCATTTGTAGGGGAAAAAAAAGGGGACGGGGATCGTTTCAAAGGTCACTTGCCGTACACTGTCCTAGTTGGCTCAAACGCGTCGTCAACGATAAACCGAGTCCCTTTCTTGCTTTGGATTCAATTAGCGCCAAATTCTGCCCGCATCATTTTCCTGAAAGGGGTTGGTGCCCTTTTTTGAAATCCCACGCTTAACGAACTCTTTCGGAGCCTACGCAAATCTCAGCTGTTCATTACAACTTTCAATTTCGTCCGTTCGATCTTCCTTTGCTCTCATCCCACCCTTCACTTTATTCAATCCAATTTTCAAAATCTCGAGAGGGAGAGGTGGCATGGTAGTGTCTTCTTCTTAGTCTCCCGGGACAGATTCCCGGTCAGCTCACCGGCAGCCTTCTCCGGCCACATTGTCTCTCATTGCAAGGGAACTAGGTGTTTGCATGTTTCTTTTGCTCAAAATCGGAAACTTTATTCCTCAATCCGCGCCAATAGCCGACTTTGGTTGATTACGATCAGTTTCTCGGTGGTTTTCTGTAACGTGCAGCTATTTTATGGTGGAATTCTGTGCTTAGAGTGGACGACGTTTCATTGTCTTTAGTATTAGGCCGTTTTATTTTGTATTCAGTGAAGGCTTTGACCATATGTTTCGGAAATTCACTCCAAACGGTGAGTTGTTCGACGTTAACGTTGGATTTGAAAGCGAAATGGCCAATTGGTGTTAACAGCTCGCTTCCATTATCGATGGAGCAGGGTGTAACCAATTCTGATTTAGCACCACGGAAATTGTCTCGGCCATTGGATTTCACGGCCATCGGTGGAGATTCAGTGAACGTAGAATTGCCGAGGGCGCCTGAATGTCAGACATACTTAGAACTATCACCACTGATGCAGAAACAGCTGCCGCAATCGACTTTGCCGCCACAATCACTATCGCCGTCTCAAATACAAGTTGAACCGAAGTTCCAGTCGCAGGCATGCTCACCGACGCAAACAAAGTTACCTATACGGTCGCAGGGGCAGCAGCCATGGTCATCTTCACACACTCAACATCAGCGAACACCGCAATCTCAGGTTAAGCAGCAATCGCAACCGCGGCCGCATCTAGTTTCACCTGTTAGTCGAATTCCGCACCCTGTGCAGAAAATTTCGACGACGACGTTACTAGTATCGTAAGTCTCTTGACCTGTACCACTTTGATTTCGCCTGTATTTGCTTCACTCACTCATGCGGGGAGACTAAAATGCACCAGTTACCTTAAGAGCGCCTTATTCGGCATAATTGAGTGGCGACGATGGTAAAGATAGTATGAAAACTGATGACATTTGCCCAAAGAAAAGATTAGTTTTGTTGGAGAGAAGGGAAATAAAAATGATAATTGGCAAAGTAATTTCATAACATAAACAGACATATACGTAATGCTTGCGTGGATATTCAAGAGACATGATCTGGAGACAGAACGAACTGGTAGAAGTTATCACGGAGGAGGGGGTAGTTTAGTATGAAGACTAGATATTATTCTTTAAAACATATTAATAAAACTAGAAAACAAATGTTTAGGTCATTCCGAAATCCAAGTTGTAGTTAATAATTTATGCAGATGATACGTGTTTATGCTTTATTTCTTTTAATTTTTTTTGGTGTCCTCATGTAGTTTTGGAACTTATTAGGATCATCTTGAGTGTTACTTTAATCTATTTGATGTATGGCTGGTGCTGAAGCCTGAAAACAATATAATGTGCAGTTCGAGAAACAGTGATCTTTTCATTACACTATTAGAACTTAAAAACCGAAAATTTATGTACGGCATTTTTTTTGGCCCTTTTGCAAAGAATAGGATTCAGATTCAGATTCAGATCATTGTCAATAAAAAGTTAAATTTTGTTTTCAATTCCAATGGGTACCATCAGAAATTTTTTTTACTCTCTTCAATTAAGTTTCACCTTTTAGGGTGAGGATATATTGCACAAACCGATATTTCTTAAATATATGGGCATATGTGTTTTCCTTCAGCAAGCAAGAGTCTCCTAGTTCACGACCTGGGCATAATGGGGAATCAAAGGACAGCACTCCAAAGAAACAAAAGCACTGCAACTGCAAGAATTCTCGCTGCCTCAAATTGTAAGCACGTCATCTTCTCTGGACAGATATCTTTTATGTTTTATCAATAACTGTTAATCACACGCAAATGCTAATTTTGCCATTGTTAGGTACTGCGAGTGTTTTGCAGCTGGGATCCACTGTGATGGTTGCAACTGCTTAAATTGTCATAATAATGTGGATAATGAGGCTGCCAGACAGGAGGCAGTTGGAATAATTTTAGTGCGCAATCCAAATGCCTTCAGGCCTAAAATTGCTAGCAGTCCCCAAGAACCACGGGTTTCGAAGGTCGGTAATTCAACTCCCTCAAGTTTTTATAATATTGCTTGACCAAGCTCTTTATATTGATTTCAACTGAATAAAATGGGGCATGCAGTATCTATTTCATAATTTCTGTTTCTGAAGGGCCTATCGTGGGGCAGTCACTTTCTTATACAGGATGGGACTCCTTTTAGAACTCCATATATCCGTAGTTTAATACTTCAATTCTTTTGCCCCTCCCATCTTGGGAAAGGACAGCTCAATTTCCTTCTGAGACTCAAATTCAAATGTTTTGATCATAATGATAAAATTATTTCGGTGGCACTCCTAACTCCTTTTTGGCTTTCTTGTGTGGTGAGAACTTAGATCTTGTATCAAGTAACAAGCTAACCAATGTTGATCACTATTGGTTAATGAACGGAATAAAGTGTATACTGATGTATGCTTACGCAGAATCATGGCTTCGTATAAGAGGGGATAGCATATATGTTTTTGAATTTTGTCAAGCCTCAAGAATATGATACTTCTTAAGTCAAATCAGGATTACAGATTTACCAAGAAATTTATGTGTTTGAGCCAATGTACTTATTAGCTACTCTGGACCTGTTTCTTTTTCCTCTTTAATTTCAGCTGACCTTGCTTGTGGTGCATAATAAATATGCTGAATAAATTCAGGAAGAGGCTGAAACTCAAGTATTAGGGAAGCATAATAAAGGATGTCACTGCAAGAAATCAGGCTGCCTTAAGAATTATTGTGAGTGTTTCCAAGCCAGTGTCCTCTGCTCTGAAAATTGTAAATGCATGGACTGCAAGAATTTTGAAGGAAGTGAAGCAAGAAGGGCTCTTGATGCAATTAACCTCAAACAGGCAGCTAATGATGCCATCAGTCAAGCAATTGGGTCCTCTGGCAATGGGATGGGCGCAACACCCAAGAAAAGAAAACTTAAGGAAATATTTTCTGGCAAAGCTGCCATAGATAAAGGTGTTTTGACTGCTCAGTTTCAACAGGTGCTTCATTTAGATTCATTTATATTATCATTTAGTAATAATTTTTTTCAGCTTCATTATGTTTGGAAATCATATGAATTCGATATATTTGAGCCTCTGAATCATGCCAGACTATGAATGTCAACCTCTCACCGTGAGTTACTTTAGACTTCTTTTTCACATGCACTTTTCAAATTCCCCATTACTTTCCATCCCCTTTCAGTTTTATCCATTTTCTCGGATCAAAATTGCAGAATATAGTTAATATATTTAAAGTTTAATTAGGAAAATGAGCCAGTGGTTGCGACACCTGCTCCATCTGTGTCTGTTGCCTCTGACATTGCCAAGGTAACAATTCCAGGGTCTTCCCGATCAACATACAGGTATGTGTTTTAAAAACATGACTTGAACATTTTATTTTTGTTTTCTTAAATTAAATTTACAATTGCTCCATGCTGAAGGTCCCCACTGGTGGATGCACTCCAGCCACAGGATGTGAAGTATCTCTGTTCACTTTTTGTTGTTCTATCCGGAGTAGCCGCAAAGACATATGCAGGTTTTTATTTAGCAATTAGATGTTCTTTGGGTAGCCGAAGAATTTATTTACCACATGGTCAATGACTATACATGGTTTTTAACTGACGAATTAGAGGAGGAGATGATTTTATATGGAGGAGTTTTTTATGGTAATAGGAAAGTAGCTATGCTTAGCACGCAGAAATTAAATTATATAAAGGTTTGTTTATTTATAAAAGTATTTGGCTCTAAAAATTAAGTACTGAGTGTATATTGCTCAAAGTGAAGCACTGAATTTGTAATGTTTGGAATTGTTTAAGGGGAACTATTGACATTTTACTAACCTTGCGGGTCTGAAATAAGGAATCTATATTTTTGTCAGGCATAATCAAACATCAAATATTTTCAGCACTGAAAAATTTTCAATTTCAGCACGAGTTTTCAGTGGACCTTAGTGGAGGAGTTATGTTATCATGTATATTAAGTCTATACTTCTCTATCAGAGTGTAATTTGCATCCCAATTGTGTTTCGACTTTTCAGAGTCAAGAGTCAGGGTAGACCAGCAAATGGAGATCAAGAAATTTGAAACTTCTTTTGCTTCATCAGCTGAATTACTGCAAGACAATAAAGAAGTCCACAAGCCTGTTTTTGGTGAACATTCAAAGAGAAATGGAGCAGAGAGAAGTGGCAGTAGTGATTCTGGATCAGATGCAGTTGATATACAGAACTCCGTGAGGCCATTGTCACCAGGAACGCTAGCATTGATGTGTGATGAACAAGATGAGATGTTTCTTTCCAATAGTTCTGCCAATGCCGTGGCTTGCAATGATCAAAAAATGATTCATAAGCCATCAAATTCTGATGTTTACATGGACATTTATGGAGAGCAGGAACGGCTTGTGCTCACCAGGTTTTGGGACGTTCTCCGTGGACTCATCACCCGTGGAAGCATAAAAGGTCAGGATTCCGGGGCCACAATATATAGCTTTCTGAATGAAAGAGAAATTCTATTGAGCTACATGTCCTTTGAAAATCGGTATCCTATATACATCTGTGCAATGGTAGATTATTTGGTATGGCAGGCACACTAACTCAACCGATTCGGGGGCTTTGAGAGATCCCCTTTATACTAAATTGTCCCGCTCCGCTTACCCATGGAGATAACTTGGCTTTCATCATCATTATTATATATATTCACGCATGTAAATTAAACTACCAAAGTGTTAACAATCTTTTTTTACCCCTTTAAGTATGTGCGCGTATACCAAAAAAATTTCGAAGCACATCTTAATCAATGTTCTTTATTTCTTAAATATTTAATATTTGATATTTTCAGCTTAAACAAATTATATTTTATGGAATTGTGCTATTTCCATTTTTAAACATTCGGGGATTTGTTCTATTTTTAAAATTTCATAAATTATATTTTATGGATTTGAGCTTCTTTGAAGTTTTATTACAAACTTGCAATAACTATCTGTAACTTCTGCAGAAGCGACGTGCTCCCCATTAGCCATGAAAGAGGTGGGAAGCAAACAAGAAGCAGCTGATAATGGCAATAATGGAGCTGAACCTGATTTAAGAAGTGAGAAGGGGAAGGGAGTTCACATGCACAGCAATTGCATTGCAAATTCCCGCATCCCGTTGTCCACTGAAGTATCTGAGACAAGTAGTGCAATGCCTAATGAACAAGATAATGATGATCTGTCATTGAGGATCGGTCTGCCTACTGGAATTGCTGGGTTGACATAATATCTTGCATTGTGAAATACTCCTGATTGGTAAAGTTCATGATTTTTTGGTGTTGGTGAACAGCCAGGAAGAGGTGCTGTTGACGTACATAGTACTTATTTATAGGTCTGGTTTCCAGCTGGAAGAATGGGGCTTAACTAGAATAACTAACTATAACTGGAATATCTTCTTTCCTAGCATCCATGTCGGAACCCAAGTCTCGGCCACTAGTTCCTTGCTTAATCTGACGTTTCTCCATGCTAAAGTATGTTAAGCTCAGGTAGGTAACGGGAATTTTTGGTTTTTTTGTTTTTTCTTTTGTTGTGGGGGCTGCGGCGGGGTTCAGAAAAGGCCCATGTTATGGGCCGATAGCGTTAAGTTTCTTGAATGTTGCTTATAGGCAGTCAATATTTGCATCATGCTGTTAAGACTCTGCTGTCCAGTTCGGCCTCGATGGTTCTCAAGTTTCCCATTTGATTTCTTCCGGGTCTTCTTTCGGTTTTCCTTCCCGGTAAATCTTCTTGATTTAAAATACGGGTCTTCCGTGAAGATTATTTAGACTTTAGCCATAAATATAAATATAAAATAATTTATAATTTTTTAAGTATCTCTATTAATTGTACATAATAAGAAAATTTTCATCCATGGTAGATATATGATTAGAAAATACATTTTTTTAAAAAATCAATCAATATATATATATGACAAATAACTAATATAACAGAAATGAAACTGGGAGAAATTAAACGTTAAATTATTATTAATTTTTGTCAGAAGTTAAAATATAAACAATTAAAACAAAGTGCATACTTCGCCTCCTTTATCGTGATTAAAATTTAAAAATGTGAAGTATAGTTTCTTTTGTCGAACATGCTCGACTTCCTATGGGTGACATGCAAAGAGCATAATATTTTGTCTTGTTTCAATATACTCTCTCGGCACAAGCTTAGATAATTAATTACTTTACTGTGAAAAAAAGGATGATTCAATTTGCTTTGGCGCTTATTATCCGATACTCGTGGATCCAGAGACAACCTTTTTGCTCTAGATACTACTACTTCCCGTGTTTAATATAAAAAACACTACTTCCGGTACTTAATATAAGGTCTTATTTGATTTTTATCTTGATCTTAAATATAAGACCCTGATACATTTTGTCTCTCATATTTATACATTTTTTTTCAAGGTAGTCCTTCTAATAATGATAATTCTAGCCAACACACTTAATTAACAAGGATATTTTAGAAAAGACAACATTTATTTATTATAAATAACTAACTTAAATTTTTTCTTTAATCTCCTCAAATTAGTGAACTAATTCTTATAATTAGGAGCGGAGGAGTAGATTAACAAAATTTTTTAAGTTAGTTATTTATAATAATTAGGTGTTGTCTTTCCTAGAATGCCTTTACTAATTATATGTATTAGCTAGAACTATCCTTTGATAGAGTATTTAACATATGCAACTACTATAAAGACTATTTTTAAAAAAAACAGATAAATATCATAGACAAAATGGATTGGCATTTAATATTTAGAACTAAATTAAAAATCAAATTAACTCTTATATTAAGAACCGGAGATAGTATAAGGAATAGAATTTACCGAAATGCTAAAATAGTGAAAAATAGATAAATAGTAATAATACATTACACTTTCCGCAATTTATTTATATTTACGAAATAATATGATTTTTTTATCAAATCGGAAAAAATATATTTAGGTAGTAAATAAAATAATCAGTGACCAACATATGGCTGCTATTATAGAGGACAAGTAAGTACAGAACTAAAAAAAAAATTAATCAAATTAAAGAACACATGTCTACTGCTTAAGATTGAAGCTATTATTATCACGTTCTAAGCAGTTGCAGTGAATTAATTAATTCCACGATGCTCGCATCGTGTTTAAGCCGGAGAAGCAAAACCTTAATCATCAACCTCCATCATTATCAGCCGCAGTGGTGAAGAGAAAAGTAATTAACAGGTGTAATAGTAAGTTTTTTTGCAGGAGCATCCCATTGGCTCCGAATAAATTATCTCCACTCCTCGTTGTCTGTTTCATATCCATCCAAACATATCAAGCATGTCAGGCTTGAGTAGAAAAGAAAAGAATCCACTCACCGTTCTCTCCTCATGCCGAAGCTTATATGTGAATAGAGAAACTATCTGGCTAACAAAGATTAAAATGCTGATAGAGCTGACAATATTATCTGCATGCATATTTCCGTCGGGCCAAGCCTTTGATGCTCAGAAGCTTCGATCAGATTTCCTCCAAGTCCTCCGAAGCAGGCGCGTCTGCGAAGGTACGTAGAATTAGTGTCCGAATCTAAGCATCTCTTGTTTACCTCTAATTGATGAACAAGTCTAGGACAAATGAAGTCTTGATTTTATACATTTTCCAAGCTATCGAATTGAGCAGAGGCAGTGAACTGGCTAGATAGATGAGCGTATTTGACTAGTCTGTTCTTTTTATCCGAGTACTCGACGATTGAAATTTGTAGCCACGTTTCAGTTCCGCTACGTGTGGAGTTCGCGAAGCCAGTGGCCAAGCCTCTGTGTCAGGACAGTGCTCAACCTTCCGCTGAGGTTCCCACTTTCCCTCAACAATCGGGATAGCCCCTTTTCGCAGGCATCTCTTATATTTCTCTGTAAATTCACATTCTGAAGTTATACCAGGCAAGCTTGGACTCTTGGCCAAAGTCAAACAGTAGTAACATTGAAGACTCGCTAAAAGAGGAGAAACTCTATTTGACTACAGAGGTAATTTGAGTTGATCAGGTCCTTATTTAAATACAGAAAAGATTTAATTCCACGTTGATATGCATTTTATTTGGGATTTGAGCATTTAGCAACGTATTAGCGATGATCATGCATACATTAGGGAGGAGAGCAAGGACGCTTGCCTGTTCTGATTTTGAGCTTGAAGGGAAACAAACATCAAAGAAGGCCTGCCGTTGTTCTTCTACATGGCACAGGCTCTTCTAAAGAATCCTTATGCCCATTACTTAAGGTCCCTACTTTCCGGAACTTCCTCTCGTTTTCTGTCCTCTCAAGTCCTATAACAGATTAAGCAGATGCTTTTTCTCGGTCTTTAGTTTCTAATTTTGTTCCCTTCACATTTCAGGCATATGCTTCACGAGGATATGTATCAATTGCCATTGACTCTCGCTATCATGGTGAACGCGCCCAAAGCACAACCGCCTATCAGGATGTATGTATTTAATTTTCACTAAGTTTCAATGCGATCGATGATTTACATCATGTTATGTAGAAAAAGAAATTAAGGTAATTTCAAACTTAAACATTTACGTTATTTTATATGTAGAATATGATTTAATCGACTGAATAGGTACTAATCTTTAGAATTGCTTGTTACTTTTATTCCTCATTCCATTCTAGAGGAGAAATGGACTCGCTTTCTGCTTGAATGTGTACTCAAAATCTTCCGTAAATTGATTTGTTGCAGACTTGCAGTGTAAGTTTAGAAAATGATCATATTTTCTGTTTACATAAACCAGGCTCTTATCTCTGCTTGGAAAACTGGAAAGACAATGCCGTTCATATATGACACGGTACTTTACTTATCTAATTGTGTCTTCATTATACAGTCACTCAGACTGAATCACCATCTATTCCAAGATTTGAAAAAGTTGGTCGTAGATGATGGGATTCGTGGCCTGACAAATGATTAGTTCTGTTAAAAGGAGGTGCGTAACTTTATGTTGTGGCAGGTCTGGGACTTGATCAAATTGGCAGATTATTTAACTCACAGGGAGGATATAGACAATGCTAGAATAGGAGTCACTGGAATATCTCTTGGAGGTTGGTTTAGACAAGTTGAAAGGAATACGTCTGAAGCCAAGCTTGATGTAACTTGTTATTCATGTAATTCCTTGCTGCAGGAATGCATGCATGGTTTGCTGCATTTGCAGACACCCGTTATGCTGTGGTAGTCCCAGTGATTGGTGTTCAGGTGACATTGAATTGTTGAACGGAATGTACATTAGTCGTGATTATTTGCTTCAGAGACAAGAAATTGAAAAGTTGTGTGCTATCTTACTGCAGGGGTTTCTATGGGCTATTGACAATGATAAGTGGCAGGCTCGAGTTGACAGTATAAAGCCTGTGTTTGAGGGTGAGAAATTGTCAAAACAAATGAATATCTTAAATCTTACTGTAGTTCAATGAGGCTTTTTTTTTTTTTTGACTTTACCTGTTTTATTGTCTTTAGTCTGATTCCTGCTTTTTCTGATTAGGTCCATGCACCACTGACGCCATGATTCATACGAAATCAATATCTTGCAATTACTTTTTTGTATATGCAGTGTTCGATGTATATTTGACATGTTTCTTCAGTTTTTTCCCATATAAGAATGATTTCTTCTTTCTTAATGTGCTATTCACCGTAGATTACATTAGCATGGCAAAGTTGGAATAGCATCCGAGTAAAACCTATAAGACGGATACAAAATTGAGTCATATTGCGTATTAATTGAAGAATGATGATAGTGAGCGCCTACTCTGTAGGTGGTGTGGTTTATATATCCCTGATGTCCTTAGGGTGATGACTGCAGTGGCTTGTGACGATTTGGGTAAAAGTGCTATTGACAAAGAAGTTGTGAAGAAGGTCAGCCAATTTTTTATGAGTGTTATTATGAGCCTCCGAATGAATTTCTATTTACTTTGATGGTTGATGATATCTTTGCTTTATTAAACTTGGATTGTCAATGCCTGATGAAATGGCGCAGACTCCTTTGTCAGTATTCTAAGCGGCACAGATGATGATTTCTATTTTGAGTAAATACTGAAACTAACATTAATAACCAAAATAACCAACAGTTACGACAAAGAAAACGAGTTACCTTCTATCATAGGTCTCCTCAAACTTACTATGGGGATTGTGATCAAAGTAACAGAAGTCGGTGTGTTCAAATTTCGAGCTAACCTAGCGAGAAAATGAGCATCCACATTGCCTATCCAATTTACAAAATTAATAGATAAAGCAATTTCTATATATCAGATACCAAGTATCCACAACGGTCTCTTGATACGGGGGGAAACCATGAAGGTCTCTAGTGCTTCTGTTGATAGCTTTAGCACAATCAGAAAAGACCTCCACGAATAACGATTTCATAATTTTATGTTCTTAACAGGTATGGGACCGGATTGCTCCCGGGCTGGCTTCCAAGTTTGACTCACCATACTCAATTCCAGCTATTGCACCACGGCCCTTGCTTATTCTAAATGGTAAGATCCTTTCTTCGGCTTCCTTCTTCTTCTTTTTTTTTTTTTTTTTTTTTTTTAAATTTTGAGTTATTGAACACTCTCGAATTGTGAGTTTTGCCTAGAAGATTATTCTTTATAGAAATATATAGATGGACAAGCCGATTGAGACTGGCTGCAATATCACTCTATAGTCTAATCAATGATATGATAGGCGTCCAGATGTGTATGACTCAGTCAGTCAGTCAAATCATTAGGAGAATTCAAATTTGTGTTATTTTCTTTTTTGCCCTTTTTTGTGTGGCGGAGGTGGTTAGTTAATTCGGATTTGAAGCATTCCCTTTGGACGTTGTTAAGGTGCTGAAGATCCTCGATGTCCCCTTGGAGGTTTGAAAATTCCAGAGTCAAATGCACGTAACGCATATGGAGAGTTTCACAAGCCGAATAATTTTAAGGTATGAACTGCTATAGTTCGAATTCAAACTCGTACATATTCCTTCATCTTCAGTAGGCTGCAATTTCCAAAATGAGTAAAGCAGCATAAAAAACCTTTAATATTAAAATCATTGGAAGATAAGTTGCCAGAGCTTTGCCTGGAAAAGTAGATGGGAGCCACATGCTGGTGCATGTACGCATAGATGAGTTTTTAAGCGTGGGGGTCATCCATTTTACCATTTCATTTTTGAAATCATACGGCACATATTTGATGAGCGTATGTACTTTATTTGTTCTTTTTGTATGCCTTGCATTTGTGCGTGCTGGGATAAAAACTGTAGTCATATACAAACAAAAGTACTCATAATTCAAACAATATTTAGGGGTTTAATGATGGTCTAAAGAGTAAGGATGAAGTCCTAGTTGATTCATTCTCATTGGATTATGAATTAACGAAAATAAAAATGACGAACCCTGAAGGTGGGGACAGTTTTGAATTTTACTTTGCATAGAAGTTGATCAAGCTTGACACAAAGTTTGTAATTTCACCCATGACTTAGATAGAATCAATTCAAATTATTTCGGATCGGAATAAAAGTTTCGCCATGCTTTATCATTCAATGATACAGTAGAACTGTGTTACTTATCGCCAAGATGTATGTTTCTTCATTAATCTTTGATTTCTTCAATATACAGTTCATCGCGCAACCTGGAATTGCGCACCAAATGACACCATACATGACTAAAGAAGCATCTGAGTGGTTTGACAGATTTTTTAAGGCGCAGTTTGGGATCTAAGATGTGTTCAAGTGCTATTTGAGTGTAAATTTTTCATATTAACCTGCTGGCCTATGCCGCCAGACGCCTACAGCCCGCGTCCTTTGGTTCATGTTGGTGATGTTATGAACTATGCAACACGCTTTCTCTGTTGAATGTATCCTCTAGCACTTCTACACGATATGTAGAAAGTTTCTGGTTCCTCAAATTTGGCGTTATGATACTTTTAGTTCCTCAAGTTTCAAACTTTAGGTTTTACTTTTTTAAAAGGCTAAATAATCAAGTTTTTATTGAATTATAAAGATTAATATTTTAAGTGAAAAGATGTCTGAGGGACGAAAACTTATAGTTTGAAATTTAAAAAATCATTACTAAAATGAGACTAAACTTGTAAGGCAAAAATTGTATTAACCCATATGTAGAATTGCGAAATGCAACCCCATGATTCTTTTTCTTATTTTTTGCTCTAAAGTACAGCCCCTTGATTCTATCTAACTCAATTAACAATTCATGGTTTTAGCTTAATGGGTTAAGAGCAACAAAAAAAAAAAAAAAGAACAAGAAGGGAAATCTAGTTTCGGACATGATTGAAAGTTAAAACGAAGTGTTCTACAAGGACCTAAGTATGCTTTCAAACTTTTGACGACGCCAATAAAAGAAGTTAAATGAGTTTCGATTATTAAATGAGTTAAACCAATCTCATGCTTTTAAGTTTTAGGAAGCTAAAACAGAATAGCTTCTGCCAATCTCAATTCTTTTACAAATTTAATATTCGCAGTCATATATTTGTGCACGCGAGGCTTGAATGGAAAGCGGAATGATTCACAGATAGCTATGCCTTCATGCCGCAGCTTGTAGCCTTATACCCAAATGGAAAGGGGACAAGAAAAACTACTCAGGTCACCAAAGATGAAATTGGTGATAAAACTGATGACATCATCTGAATGGTTATTTCTTTAAGAGACTGCTAAGAAGAAACTTCCATGGAATCAAAAATACAGTAGCGTAAAAATACTAGTACTCCTCCGGTCCTAAATATAAGACTCTTTTCGTACGAAAAGAATCTTATATTTAGGACTGGATGAGTATTAGAATAATAAATAATAAATAGACAATATTAAAGATGTTTTTTATCACTAACTCGAGTGACGCTGCAAATTCTCATCCGGAAGAGCCAATGCTTTTGCCCGAGGCTGTACCAAGTTTTATTACAAACTTCAGGTTCCAACTTGTTTAACTTATATTGTCCGTCTTCAACTTCTGTAGAAAGAGTGTAACCTCCATCAACCAAGAACGACGGCAAGCAAACAAGAAGCTGTAGAATGGCATGTGTGAACTAGCACCTTCCTCAAAAGCACAAGAAGCAGGTACTAATTTGGTCAGTAGTTACTAGCTATGTACCGTTTTAGACAAGTTTACTTTGTTCTTCTGCTACGATATAAAAGACAGGAAGTGGAGCTTCCATGCGACTTCCTTGCTATGTTTTACAATTTGATCGTCCTTTTCTGGGTTCTTTCCCTCTAAATGATGGGTCCTTGTTCTGGTTGGACGGCCCTGAAAGAAATATGATAATGATTTCTTCTTTCACTTCATGAGAAAAAGATAAATATGAAAGAAATTAATGACTCTTGGAAATGACTGATTTTTCTGTGAACAAAACAAAAGAGAACCACTCTTAACCTCATTTCCCTACATTAATCTCACAAAAATCGAGAGACAGATTAAATAAATGTATGATAATTTCTTAATGACACAATTTCCTGATGTGATCTTGTCATGGATGACTTGTCAGGCGTCTGGTTTGTTGCAAATCCTAATATCTAATTATTTACTCACGATTAAAATAGTTATTCTTGGCGCTAGTGTTCTTGTTGGCAGGCTGGCAATGACAGTTGTGTTTTGGTTTGTGTTTTTGCTTTTCTTGGGCCAACAGAATGCGATTCGCGCTGAACAGCAAATAAGGAGCAGCGAAAATAAATTTTAACAGAAAAATAAAAGGAAAAAATTGATTTTAAAAATAAAATCAAGAAAAAGTGCAGGAGGAAAAAAGGGTCAGCCTAATCCCGACTTGCGTAGGAGAATGGCGGTGGCGGCATCGGGAACGCCCGCTGGGACCGTTTACCCTTCCTTGAGCTGCCTGGTCAGTATGTCGCACGTGCGGTGTCAGTTAAAGCACACGTGTCATATGCCCCGGCCAAAAAGGTTTATTCATAAATATCGACCGCATGCCTCAGTCGAAGTGGTCACTCATCGCTGCACTGATCGCAAAATGGGAGAAGCCATTGATTATCAGAAGCTCCGATCAGATTTCCTTCAAGTCCTCCGTGGAAGGCGAGCCTCTGAAGGTATTCACAATCAGTATAGGATTACCAAAGGAAGCATCCGCTTTTTACCTCAATCTTGCTTTATCTATTACTTCATTTGTTCTCGATTTTGTTCGATTCCTGAGCTATTGAGTCGAACACGGTTAGTGAACTACCTTATAAGATCATCGTGTTGAACGGCCTGTTTCCACTTCATGTGCAATGGATAATATGATGATACTATTCGAAGACTGAAATTCTTACTGCCGTTTCAGTTCCGCTGCGCGTGGAGCCTGCAAAGCCAGTGGCGAGCCCATTGTATCAGGATAATACTCCACCTTCTGCTGAGGTTCCGACTTTCTCTCGAAATAGTTCCTCTTCTCTTGCATCTGATTTTTTTTTCTGTTGATTTACTTTATGGACCCATACCAGGTAAGTTTGGAGTCTTCTGAGAAGGCAAACATTGAAAACTTCGTACACTCGCTGAAAGAGGAAAATCTCTATTTGGTTACAGAGGTGATTTGAATTCATCAGACCTTTTATTTGAATCCTGAAAAAGCTTTAATTCTACGGTGATATGCACATATTGAGATTGAACGTATAGTAATGTATCTAATGTTGACCGTGCATTAGGAAGGAGAGCAAGGACGCTTGCCTGTATTGATTTTGAAGGAAAACACACATCAAAAAAGGCCAGCCGTTGTTTTCCTACATAGCACAAACAAATGTAAAGAGTTCTTGCGGCCTTTACTTAAGGTGGCTATTTTTGTTATTCTTCTCTGGTTCTCTGTCCTTTCAGTTTTTATAACGCATTTAGAAGGTGCTTTCTCTCAGTCTTCAGTTTCTAATTCTTTTCACTTCACGTCTCAGGCATATGCTTCACGAGGATATATAGCAATCGCCGTTGACTCTCGCTACCATGGTGAACGAGCCAGAAGCACAAATACCTATCGGGATGTGCGTATTTTTCCCCTTGCTTTACTAAATTTTACCTTGATCGATGATTTACACTAGATCATGTAGAATTTATTCGTCATTCCTCTTTTTACAGTAGAAATCAACAATTTTTTTCTCCTTGAATTTGTATCTGGGATCTTCATAAATGGAATATTAGTTACAGTATAGACATAGAAACTGATCAAATTTTGCCTTTTTTTTTTGTTTTCCCTTTCTGTTTTGTTTTGGATAAAAAGGCTCTTATTTCTGCTTGGAAAACGGGCGAGACAATGCCATTCATTTATGACACGGTAATTTCATTGTCTATTATGCGTTTATGCTGTTTTTATCATACAACTACTGAAGACTGAATTTCTATCTTCTCCGAACGATGGAGAAGTTGTGATTAGTTAGTTAAATGCAGGGTGTATTATGCTCTGTTGTGGCAGGTCTGGGACTTGATAAAATTGGCAGATTACTTAATTCAAAGGGAGGATATTGACCCTTCTAGAGTAGGAATCACTGGGATATCTCTTGGAGGTTTGTTTAGACTACTTGAAAGGAATATCTCTGATGCCATGCCTAACGTAACCCGTAACTAGTAATTCATCTATGCAGGAATGCATGCATGGTTTGCAGCATTTGTAGACACCCGCTATGCTGTGGTAGTCCCAATGATTGGTGTTCAGGTTACATTGAATTTTTTAATGGAATATTTATTAATGGAGATTATGTGCTTTAGAGACAAATAATTGAAAACTTATGTGCTAAGATGTTGTAGGGGTTTCGATGGGCTATTGACAATGATAAGTGGCAGGCTCGGGTTGACAGTATAAGGCCAGTGTTTGAGGGTTAGTACCGTTGAAATAAATTAAAATAAAAAATCATCTTCCAATTTGATTTTTTATTGTTTTTACTGTTTTATTGTCTTCAGTCTAATCCTTTCTTCTTCTGCCTGGTTTTGTATGTTATTGATGTTATGCTTTATATAAATTCAATGATCTTGCATGTTTCAATTCGTAAATGCATTACTTGATTTATGTTTGATGGATAGCTTCATTGTTCTCACAGCAATGACGTTTTCTCATTCATCATAGATTAAAATTGCGTTACAAAGTTGGAGTAGAGTTTGAGTAAAGTCGAGAACTGCAAATAAGACATGAAAATGAGTCATGTTGGGTATTGATTGAGGCACGATGGTGGTGAATGCATATCCTGAAGTTGGTGTGGTATATTCATTCCTAATACTTAGGGTATTTAATGCAGTGGCTCGCGATGATTTGGGAAAGAGTGCTATTGACAAAGAAGTGGTAGAGAAGGTCAGCCAATTTTTTGTGACTATGACTCTCCAAATGAATGTCTGTTTGGTTTGACAATTGTGATTTGTTTGTGCTTTATCAAAATATAAAACTGGATTGTCAATGCCTGGTGCATTGGTACCAACCCATTAAACAGCTTTGTGCCAGTTATTCTCTGCCTCTTGGCATAGGTAATATTTCAGTGTTATTTTCCTTAACAGGTATGGGACAGGATTGCTCCAGGTCTAGCTTCCAAGTTTGACTCACCATACTCAATTCCAGCTATTGCACCACGCCCCCTGCTTATTCTGAATGGTGAGAACCTTGCTTGTGCATCCAATTTTTTTCTGGAAGGGTTATATATGAACATTCACAAATTTCAGATAGAAACCTGATTATTCTGTTTGAGTTCCTAGGTGTACAAATCAATCAAACCACGTCATAATATAACTTTGTAATGTAGTCGATAGTATGATAGGCCTCCATACCTGTGTAACTCAGTTGAATTATTTTGGGTGCTCAATGTTTGTGCGGTTCTTTCAAGTTACCTTGGAATTGAAATAATCTTCTACATTGTAAACATCAGGTGCTGAAGATCCTCGATGTCCCCTTGAAGGTTTGGAAGTTCAGAAGTCAAATGCACAGCTGGCATATGGAGAATCTCGCTGTCTGGACAACGTCAAGGTATAAAAGTCTAAAGTTTGATTAAACTTGAACATGTTATTCTTTCCCCTGCTTAATAAGAAAGCTTTCATATATAATAAGTTGCATCAATCTCATTGACGCATCAGTTCGTAAAAACCGTTATACTAGGATCAGGGACAGAACCAGTGAAAAAAATTTTTTGGGGTAAAAGAAATTATGATGAGGGCGGCAGATTTTAAGGGCAATGTCTTGGATATTCATAGTATTACGTGCATATGAAAATTTATTTATTTAGTTTTTCTTTTGTGTGCGTTTTTGGTCCTGAAGAGAGGAGGAGGGGGAGAATCGCCCCTAAACTGCTTCAGCCCGCCGTTGGCTGAGATTGAAAGGAAAGTTACTTGAATCATGGTCATACACAAAAACGAAAACAAAAACTGATTTATCGTCGCGGTCTATAATAAAACTACCAACAACCAAGACTAGTTTTAATAACTTCTTTCATATTACAGTTTGACATGGGAAGAAAAGTTTTTCCATCACGCTATTTTATTTCGATTTTAAAGTGGCATTGTCTCACTTATATCCAATATATATATATATATATATATTCCCCGTTTATATTTGATTCGATTTCTCTGACGCAGCTGATCGCGGAACCTGGAATTGGGCATCAAACAACGCCATCCATGATGAAAGAAGCATCTGATTGGTTCGATAGGTTTTTAAAGGCTTAGCTTAGAACCTCAGATTTTCTCTCCAACTGCGGATGGATTCCTTGACATATGATCCGTTGGGAATAGTAACATGCTTAATGTATCCTCCCTCCCCAGGACTCTTGTGTCTCGTTCTCTGCTATTTAAAGATTTTTCACGTGTTTTTGGTGATCAGTTCATTTCGGGAACCAAAACACTGTAAGAATAACTTTGCCTCGGAAAATTACAAAATTACTTTTTCAAAATAAACCCAAACATTACCTGGAATTAGTTCAAAATAATAATAACAGTACAAGACTGGAAGAATAATAAAACGTTTAAAACCTCCGAAAGCAATAAAAAAAAATAAAGATGATTGAATGGTAGCTTGGGCTCTTTCACAAATATGATTATGTAAATCGAGCGCATTGTAGATCATTTAATTAAAGACAAATGTGCAAAATTTCAATATCAATACAATAAATGCATGATTTTTACGTTAATAATCCATGTTCTAAATATTTTATAAGCATTTTGACTCCTAACACAACATTTATTTCTTGAAATGTGTCCGGATTTAAGATTTCGGATACAAGTAAAGCTCTATCGTAGTGATCCGACACTATTGGGTATGGACATCTAGATGTTCTTGACTGGATATGTAGTATCAATTATTTGCTAGAGACAAAGTCATGTAGATCCCACCAACCACAATGAGAACCATCTGCTCGTGTCTTGAAATCTATAATGAGGCAAATATGGAATACCAAAAACTGCTCGTATCAGTTGCTGGCTTCCTTAAAATATCTTAGGGTATAAACACATCACACATAACTTTCGTATATTTACGCAGGAGCACTAACTGCAGCTAAGAAATGCACAAGGAACGAGTTTTCTGAATTCGAAATAATTCAACCTTTCTTTGGCATTGCTGCCAGTCTAGTGTACATTCTGGCCATGGACTGGTACCCTCTAACATCGCCTGAACGCAGAAGATTACCTGTTCACAATTGATGAGTAAAGTAAGATTCAAAAAGAAATTTCCCATATGACCCATATCTTTAGAATTCTGTCTTGAATAAGATCTTAAAAAACAAGATGAAATATATTACGATGGAGGACAATTAAATGAAGTCTTGTCCTTGAATTAGATATCTTTCTCCTTACTTTTAATTCCATTACTAGAGAAGCGATTATAATTATAAATTATAAAATTGATGAAAAAGTGGAGAAAGTTTGTAAACCTGAATCACAATTCAATGGACTGTCCGGTTCTGGATGGGCCATCAGAGCTATTATAGCCCTACAGACAGATTGAAGCGTCCAAGCTGGGCTCCAAGCATTTTTCAAGATATCCAGACAAATCTCCCCTGTCTGAAAAGGAAGATTACTCTTACCCATGTGTTAAAACATTACCAAACATCTATTTACCAAAGAAGCAGATCCTTGTTAATGATAGACCTAAACCGAGTTGTTCATAAAACTCAACAGAGCTAATAGTAGGCATAGAGCTCTTTTTTACCCCATCAGCTTCTGATAACCGCGGACAGTTCATTGATTTTTCTGCCATAACAAAGGTAGCCATGACATCCTAGACAACTGGCTACACATATTATTTGCATTATACACCTAGAGTATATTCATGTGAAGGATAGCAAGTCTCTTTTCTCTTTTTTTTTTTTTCCTTTTTAAAAAAAAAAGATTTCAAAATTCGTGTTGACAGAGGACACAAGGACTCATTGTCTACAACATGGATCGCAAGGGCATTTAACAAAGTCATTCCCCAATTCCCACACAAACTACAAATAAAAGATGTATAGCATAAATTTTTACCCAATTCACGGTTTGTTTGGTATCACGTTAAAGTTACTTTACAATTTAGAAGATAAAATCACTCTCACATTATTTTGGTCAGAATCACGTTTTAACCAAATCCAAATGGATTTCCAAAACCTAGAGTGAAATCTCACAGATGGTTGGGAAATTGTTCTTCAATAAAATAAATCATAATGATAAATTCTCATGGGTGCCCTTTCCCTTCTTAGTAATAGTAGTATGCTCGAACTTCATAGGTGAAAAAGCACCAAGATAAGCTGATAGTTACTTTGTGAGGGATCCTACCTTAAAATGTACATTTGGGTGAAATATTTTTGTCAAAAACCGCACTTGAGGAGGTTGTAGAGGATATTGCTCTGGAACAGCAAAAGCAAGCTGGAAAACACCCCCCTCATAAGGAGTCTCTGATGGTCCCTACAAGGAAATGAAAAGGAATCAAACTAAACCAAACCAATTTGAGAAAACCAAACATGTATTATGCTTTCTTCTTTATGATTAACATACCTTTATAAGGGCTGTCCATTTGAAAATGTTAGAATCATCACAGACGAGTTGAATATCTGGGTCAGCTGTTTTCTCTCGTTGAACCTCTTTATATTCCTTGAACAATCTTGCCCGTGATGCCTGTATAAAGTCCAGGATCCATTGCAAGGCATTTTTTGTGAAGTTATGTTAATTATAAAAGACGGCATTTGGTCCCACAGAAAAGTGCAATAAAGTATAAACCATAATTGTCAATGGGAAGACAAAAACTAGGGGGGAAACTTTGCAATACTACAGTATTACTATTGTTGCATAAAATGTTTGAGAGCACATTTGTGTACAGCCATTCAACTGCTTCTATTCTAATAAAATATCCAGCTAGTCCCTTCGACTCGTAAAATATCCCCTTAAAATTAGCCCAGTCCAGCATACAAAACAAATAAGCAAAGCAAATAAGGCCATCGAACCTGCATGTCTGATATGATCACGCTGGAAACAAAACTCGAAATAACTTCTAACTGCATGATAAAGATAAATATTCCGTTATTCGTGTGCCAAAAACGACAACCATAGGCAGACCTAAATTACACTATGCATAGTTAATATCATACCCTTTAATTCTTGCTCCAGATACTTTAACAAAGATGCCTTAGTAAGCCAACGGATTCAGGCAACTCCTCGAAGCCACTGAAGAATGACAAAGATAACAATTACAGTTTATAATCTTCCAATTTTATATTGCAATTTATGATCATGAAAATGTTCCTTAGAGTGAATTTGGTACGCTATCTATTGTTTCTGTCAATAGCTTCTACATTCACAGACCAATAAACAGCAGGAAACGATTTAAACTCAAGGTTCAATCAAGCCAAGTCATTTACCCGATCATGCATCACAAATACCTTGAGAATTTTCTAAGATGATGATAATATAAAGAGATTAACAAAAAATAACGCCGACACACAATAAATCCAACACTGCACAACAACACAATCCAAAGCACATAAGTCGATAGTTATCAAAATGAAGAGGACAGAAGTATGATTGCCAATTACACACCATTCAAGCGAAAACTAGTAATCAAAGTTATTAAAAAAATTAAACTCAACCTGTAAAAATTTCCAGATTCAAAAGCGTCAATATCTAAACGATTACACTACCAGGTTCATAACCAAATTAAAATGAAAAAAATTTAAACAAAGCAAGAAGCGGTGCGACAGCGTCCGACACAGGGTTGGCAACCACGCAGGGAACAGATAACGCGAGGAACATATTCAAACCTAGATCCAAAGCCAGATTGAACAAGTCAATCTCACCGGATTTTAGAAGACGAGGCCCTAGGGTTCGAACCTTCTTAAATACCTGCCGGACAACAACCACGCAGGGCTGATAACGGTGGACGGCGTCCAACGGCGAGCTCGACCAACTGCGGAATGCTTATTCGTCGACAGGGAAAAATGGATCCGCTTCAGTCCCTATCAGACAAGATTGTGATTACGCGCGAGCGTTTTATTATTATTGGGGGGGCAGAAAAAAGAGAGGGGAGAAAGGGCGGGTGAAACCGTGAAAGTATCAAGGGGTCCTGTCATCGAGTCGGTTAACGGATCTAGAAGTCCATGACCCATCCCATAACCATGAAGGTAGGGACTGAGGCGGATCCAATTTCTAATCCAGCAATCTGTTTTGTTTTGTAACCAAAAAAAAACCTTTGGACCTGCTTGTCTTTGTTTTTTTTTTCCCTCAAAACAATTTTATAAAATTGTTTTTTAAAACAAGTTTTGAAAACAAAACCCAGCGAGATTAGAAAATTTGCTTTTGAACGATTGTATGGGATCTGATTCCCCAGAGTTTTAATTTTTTTCCTTGTTAGGCTTAGCCTTTTTTTGTACCCAAAAAAAGTTTTGAAAACAAAAAAAAAACAAAAGAAGTTGTTTGGATAATAATTTTAAAAAATCATGTTTGGAAAAAAGACCATAGAAAACCACACAAGTGATAGTTGTTGCTGGTAATAATAAGTGATGAATAGTAGGTAAGAAGAAAAGAATACAAAAATAAAAAAAAAAAAAAAAAAACATATAAAAGTTGTTTTGGTTTTTTGGTTTTTAAAAACATGTTATTATTTTTTGTTTTTTAAAACAATCAACTAAAAACAAATTACTAAACAAGTTTTTTTATTTTTCTGCTTTTAAAAATAAAAAATTATTTTCAAAACAACAAACCAAACAAGCTTTTTGTTTCTCACTTTTCCCCATCCCTTGTCATTTCCCAATTATTTTTTTATCCTGTTGTCTTTTCTTACGGAGGGAATATCTTTTTTCATTCACGGGAAATTCAAATGATAAAATCAAACAAAATAATTCTGGCCAAAAAAAAACTTACATCGTATCTAAGATAAAATTTATACAATTTTTTTCTTTCAAAAGCTCTGAAAAATCGTTTTTACCTTAAAGTGAGAAGGTTTTTAGATTACTTAAGAAGTATTTTTCAAGAACACTTTTTCACAAATCAAAACAAACTCTTCTATATAAAAATACTTTTAAAACCACACATATAATAGTATAGCGTTATAACTGGAGAAACAAAATCGTTGCGACCCCGGGGAAAAAAAGTTCCCTCGGGTTACGCTAGTTGCCCTCCCATGCCACTATGCCAGTGTTACGTGAAAAATAGAATAAAAACAGTTTTGCTTTATATGCAGAAATTTGAGAACATGATGACAGGATAATCGTTCTAATGGTCTGAATGCAGGGATGGTGCGCGTTATTGAGTGATGACTCTTTATAAACCACCGATATGATACTTTTATACTCCCTCCGTTTCTTATTGTAAGAGACGAATAACTGAATTACGTTGATTAAAAAAATAATTAAAATTAATTAAAAACAATCAATATGTAAAAAGTATAATTTTTTTTAAAAAATGCCCTCATTGATAAAGAGAGAGAGCATGAGAGAGAACAATTAAATTATTAAAAGAAAGAGAAATAGGAGGGAGAGAGAGTGTGAGTTAGAGATAATAATTATGGGTAAAAGAAGAAATCAACACAAAAAAATAAAGACAACTTTTAAGTGTCTCTTATATATAAAGACATATTATAAGTATCAAATGTCTCTTATAATAAGAAATGGAGGGAATATGCTTTTACTCTCTTCCCTAGAGGATAAAATGAAAATTACCTCTATTCACATTTTATCAAAAACACAGCCGGCAACTCGACTGATTCCTCAGTTTTCGCGCCTTCAATAAATTGCGAATGCGGGCATTTAAGCGCTTTTTTGCCTCATTTACAGACATATCAATCTACCATAACCTATCAATCTATCATTACCGTTCCCATGATACATTCCAATTGAATGTTGTAATGGAAACCATCCTACTTACCGCATCCACATCTCAGTCGGTGGCTTATTCGTAATGGCATCGCCCTCTTGCCATAAACAAGAACTACTGATGGCATTATTTTGGTGGGTAGGATGCTCTGGACAATTTTCTCTTTAGTGTCTTTCTAGAATGAATGTACATAATAATCACGATGCCATTGCCAGACAAGCAGCAGAACATGGCACAATAACAATATATATAAGGGAAAATGGGGCGAAAAGGGGGGAGGAAAAAATGCAGACCAAAGTTAGCAAACAGGTGAAAATTGCAAGCCAGTCATAGTTTTACATGCTACCAGCTCGACCTGGTGTGGGTTTTGATTTGACTTTTGCCATGTCAACAAGGTCCCCAAATAATTTGTCCTCTGGTTTGGAAGGTCTGCCAGGTGGCACATAAGGTGAGGAAGAAACCTGGTAGGGGTTTCTCAAACCATTATCATCTCTAACAGATAGGCCATACATTTGCTGCTCGAGGTATGGGACCCCTTGTTGCTGACCATAGCCATATCCCGAAAATTGGTTGCCATATATCTGTTGAGGATACATAGAAGCCACAGGAGCAGCTTGCAATTGAGGAGAAACCATACCCATATAGGGTCCTGCGCCACCCTGAATATGCTGAGGGTGCAAGCCCATCGGATTGCTGTGAATAACATGGCTGTTGGCACTCGGCTGCATATACATGCTACCAACTTGGTCATTCCCCAATGCCGGAATTCCCTGAGTATGTGCACCACTCTGAACATGCGTCATAACCACTTGAGAGACTTGCAGTGATGGGGGATAACTGCTGCCTGCTACTGGGCTACCGTTATCTGTTGGTTGAGCTTCCCAAGGGGGTGGTGGCAATGATTCACTGCTTTGCGCAGCTAGAAATCATTAAACAAAAAAAAAAAAAGTGAGTTACACAAGAAATAAAGCCTGAAATTTGAGAGCACAAATCCTGACATTTACATTCTCCATTTGGAGAGCAAAACGAACGAGTCATAAAATTCGTAGACTGAGAATGTAGACCAGGATTTGTGCCCTGCAGAAAATGTTTCAATTAAAATCTAAAGAACCATTTGTACCATAAACTGGTGAAGCTGTTGACTGTTGCTGCTGCTGGGCAAGCTGACCATTCCAGGCAGGACCTGTGCTTTGGGGATAAAGTGGCTGCTCAAAATGAAGTGACGCCACATTAGGCACGCTTCCATTGGCATAAAATGCACCTTGTGTAGGTATGCCCGTCTGCTGTTGTTGACCATGGGGGGCTAATGGACTGGTTTGTCCACCAACATTAGTTGGCTGGGTTGGCTGTGCGGAAGTCAGTTCACTGTTTCCATTTGAAAACATATCAAAAAGAACAAGGGCATTCTGCTGAGACACGGGATTTGCTGGTTGCGTTTCTCCCACAGAAACAAGAGCGAGTGAATTCTCTGCTTTTGGTGAGGTATAATCATCACCACTGAGCAAGTCCATTTTGGGATCAGCCTTAGCATGAAGAGATGAACCATTAGAAGTGGGAGGAGCAGGAAGCAATAATTGATTCAACGTTTGGGACCCACCTTCAGCACTAGAACTGAACACGCACAAATGAAAATTATTAACGTTATAAAGAAACAAAATAATAAGAATTATATAACTGGAAGCACCTCATTCTTGTTAAGTCAACCTGAAATGTAATTTCATACATCAACCTGTTTCTACCTTTGCCTGGAGAAAATTCAGGCTCTACATGACATGAATATACATAAAACCTATCACACTACCTATAAGTCCTCAGCCAAAGACTAAATACCTAGTTCCTCAAAGACAAGATCCCAAGTGAAATAACCATGAATATTCATTGATCTGACTAATACAATGAATAGCCAACAAATTAGCAATTATCATTACATGAATTCTGTTGGTCAAAATGAAAGAATTAGTAAGAAATACAGTAGTTAAATAGCATAGCCAGCAATGTAAAGCACCATAAAGAATGGATTACCTCCCATCGGTTTGTTTGCTAGCATCTCCATTATCAACCAAAGGACCAACATCTACGAGTGCTCCAGCTGGCTCAGGCTTCGCTTTCTCTGTTTGATTTGCAACAGAAACACCTGAAGCAATGGCTTCATGCTTTGCCAGTACTCGCTGCAGATCATCATTGAGAGAAAGACCTTGGCATAGCAGAGATTCATCCCTGAAAAACAGAAGGGGAAACACCACAAAATAGCTCGTCGTTTTTTTTTATTTTTTGAAGGGTTTTTAAAACTTTATTGAAAGCAATACCAACATGAACAGAGCACGATAATACTGCCACCAGTATATCATAGTTTGAGGAGAGAAATATTGACTTACGAAGTTGAATTAACAAGGTGCACCACTCTCTGCTTGTAGGTTCGACACTGCTCCACCAAATCAATAATGACCTCCTGCCTAAGACCCTAAAAATAGAAATAAAGTATATATAGGAATTTGTCAATGCAAAAATGATAAAAATATCTTAATTTTGTGTTAGAGGAAAAGCATATTTAAAGCATGCTTGGCAGAGGGTTCAAAGGGTCAAAATTTTAGTTTAAGAGAATGATCATATAATTTACCATTTATAACAATCAGATTTAGTTTTGCCTAAGCTCCACCTAGATGCTTGAGCGCAGTACATTACAAGGACATCAAACCGATAATCCCACCTAATTCAAATACTGATTCATGATAAGCCTTATCCTATACAGTACCCCCCAGATCGGGTTAAACACTTTCAACACAATCAGTAGCTAAATTGACACAAGCCAATAATCAGTAGCTAAATGTAATTCATAAAAAGCATCATATTTTAAATGTTCAAGGAAAGCAACTTACTTCTTTGTTACTTGGTTCTATTGCACTGAGCATTTCTGCAAGAACATCCATAATACCACGGGCATTCTGAATTTCGGTCAAACTGGCAGTAGAAGGTTCAATTAAAAAAAAAGAAAAGTATAATGGCATGAAATTCTATGTACAGAATAGCATAAGTTGTATAATCATGTTATGGCTGATCATAACACCAACAGCAGAACATATAAAATGTACCATCTGCTAATCTCGATCCAAGGCAGTTCATTAAGTCCAATTGCTTAGATTTAAGAGAATGCATTACAAATAAAAAATGAGTGTATCAAAACCTGAATTCATTTTCACAACATATAAAGCAAGAAGGAACAGAGAGCCTCCAAATCATACCAACCACTTTTATGCTATGCAGGATAGATCAATAAGAGAATAAGCAAAAGGGGAGAAAAATGAAAACTGTGTCCAGACTTAGGTTAGTTTTCTATTTCCTTTTATTAATCTTTGATTTCATCCCCAGACATAGCCCGACTATAACTCCAATATATATCAAGCAACAACCATCCTAAATGACGAAATACAAAACAAATATGCAAGGCTAGGCCAATAACTTAAAACATGTCATCAGAGCTGCAACGAAAACCTGCTACAGATAACATGATAATGATACTTCTATTTTGGTCAATATGATAATACTTGAATAAGTACATATAGCAACAAAATCTCTAACAAGTCACATCCATAAAGAATGTTGTAGAGGTTACGTGAGTTTTAGATTAAGAAACGGCCACAATCAACAACATAAACAATAAAGCCAACTGCCTACAAAGGGGGAAAAAGATGAAAAAAGGAGATAAAAAAGTAGTAAAATACCTTAGAGTTGGAAACTCAGGCTCTGCGGAGGACTCAGCTACATCTTGAAGGGCCTCAGAGTTGCGCAAATTTTGAGGATATGATGACAATGGTTGTGTTTGTGGAGGTGTGAACACAGGGGCAGATTGTTCAGACCTCTTAGGGAATACTGCCCCAGCACGCTGAAATAAACAAATACTATAATTTTTCATCTCTCAAGGGGGAATAGCTAAATATTCTTCTTAAAAATTGGTTTCATCCCCATGCAAAATGACCAGTTAAAAGATAATTATTGCCAAACAATCTCCGTCTAAAGAACTTCAAGATAACTATACCAGCAGTTCCTGGTATGCAGCATAATACTGCGGGTATCTAGCCCTTGGTCCTCCAAACGCTTCTTGCCAAGTATCTATAAGAATCAGAATCTTCTCTCTGACATGAAAATCAGGCTACAATTGGCAACATAAATAAAGTCAACATTTCACAAGATGGAAGTTGCTATAACAAGGGATAACAGTCAAAATTTTTAGACATATTTATACCTTCTTTTTTGCTATTTTAACCATCTCATGAAGCACATCTCTCTCTGCCACGTGCATGTGAACAATGTCCCCACAATTCTTTATGATTGTCTCCAGTAGCTAGAGCAGACCATCATGAAGCAAAATATATCACAATAACTCCAACTGCTTTTTTTTAAAAAAAGGAATCCAACTAATCAAAATACTTGTCAGTCTCATTCCATCTATCTAATAAGCTAATAAAATTTCCAATTTCATGCATGAAGTAAAGAAAAGGGCACCCAGAAATAATTCAAACTTTAAAAATGATTTTTAAAAAAAAAATACTGGTCAAATGTGACAAGATTTCTCAGGTGGACACCAAAATCTTACAAATTGCTAAAGAAATCATCGATGTTAACATCCAAACTGAAAAAGTAAATCAATGCTTTGATGCTTACAGTTAGTGCAAGAAGTTGAACTTTTGAATTCTTACTTCCAATCCGCTTCTTTATGCCTTTAACAACATCCTTTGCTTGCCTGATAAATCATAACCAGACTGAGTTCTCAAACTCGGAGAACATAAATGGGGAGCAAAACTTGGACTCATGCACACAATTCCAGTTATCTCACCCTCAAAAGAAGGAGGGGAAAAACTAAAGTTGAAGTTCCAACAAATGCTCAGTGAACAACAGATATCTACAGCAAAAGTACATATTCAAATATGCCACCTTCAGGTCCTCCGACCTCCTTTCCTTTTAGGGTCAACATGACATTTGAGTTTGGCACGGATTCAAAATCCATACGCTCAATTCTTCTGTATAAAGTAACGTTAAAACTTTAATTCCTACAGAAGGGAACTAGCAACCTGTGGCGAACAGTAGCAAATTATACAACACACAGCACTTGTCTAACCGTCTGATTAAGCACAAAATGATGAATCAAGCGTAACCAATAGCCAGCTAGTATCACTGATTAATCAACACCGTCTAGTTTGGCACGTAATAAAAAATAGATAACTCAAATATAAAATCTGAAGGTATAAGTTAACAATTCAGACAAGCCAGATCAAAGAGGGCGATGATGTTAAGCACTTGCCACATCGAAAGTCAGGTACAGCATCTAGTTCAAACACTAAAATTCTTGAGCCGAGAATTCGATATTTCATTACTTTTAAAGCAATGTAGAAGTGACTTCACCAATGAATAAGAACTAAGGAGAATTTGCAAGAAAGACAAGTTCCATCTGTCGATACAGTTAAACTTCACGGCTTATCTTAGATCTCAAGAGCCAATTGGAATTCTCGGTATCAAATAAAAGAAGTTTCATCCGCAGTTTTTAGGGAAATCACACTACAATAACGATTCGATCAAAACACAGAATGACACGCATGGTAACACATATTTCAATTAAATAAGAAAAAGAAAGTAGAGAGAACCCAGTGCTATGCGTACCCGGGGTCGCTATTCAGCATGTCGCAGATCTCGATATTCATCGCCCAATCAGGACCAATGAGCATGTCGCTCGTGGCCCGTTCTACCATAGAATTCACCATCTCAGCTCACTACCGATGATTCCAATCTGAAGCGATATTTTCCTGGTGACCTCTAACAGAATATCAACGAGATCGAAAACAATTCGGGCAATATCACAGGGAGGAACGGGCTTCTGGTCCTCTTCTCTCTCCCCACGTCCGGCCCCACGAACTTGGTTGAGCTTGCTAGTTTCCGATGGGAAAATCTTTTAGGGCACGTTTGGATGATCGGAGATCTTTTAGAATGAGAAGATCACGAGGGGGAAAAAACCAAGATCAAATTTTAACAAAAAGATGGGTAAATATTAAAATTAAAAATAAGAAAAAAAATCAAATATTGTGCTCATTATTATTTTCATAAAATAAAGGGAAAAAAAAGACATTGAAAAGTATTTGTGAGACAGCAATAAAATTAATGAGATGTACTTTTAAATTCACACATAAAAATATTATTAGGTGTGTTCATACTTCATGGGGTGCTTCAAAATGTTGCCTCCCTCCTGAATTTAGCCTCATGAAAGTTGAAGCAAACGTAAATTTTCAACGAACTCTCGGAACAAAATAACAACCAAAGAAAACACGAAGTACGTCGAAAAAGAATCTTGTTCTGTAGATAATGCAAACACGACACTATGCATAAGTCATCACACTATAAAAAATAATGCATCTCGCCCCGAAAACAATTGAAATACTTTTTGGACGGAAAAAGGTTGGGGGGGGGGGGACAAATAAGATCACTTTTTTCAAAGCAAGTGGCATAGATAACAGCCATACAAACAATAATTAAGGTTATATTCTCCATCAGTGGCCAATAAATTTATGCACTTGTCAAGCATAACTACCCTCACCAACGGTTTATACTGGAATTTTGAGATTTAATCATATGGCTATTGCTTTCATCATTTTGCTGTCCACGCATGCATGTCACTTAGTTCACCATCGTTCTCGCACTTAAGGCCATTATCAGTTGAGAATATTGAGACGTTTCTTTTACTGAGCTACAAAATTGGTGCTGCAAATAATTCACTGCAGAAAGTTTTGTATTCTGTCATTATCTTATATTCTCAGCTTCTTCTTAATTCTAACCTTTTTCATATCATGAGCCATAATTACATGCTTTTTTCTGTTCCTTCTTTTCTTTAGGTCATACAGTTTCTTTCTAATGAACTCCTTCACAGTCTTCTGGATTTTCTAACAAGTTCAGCCCGCAAAAAAATGAAATGGAGATGATAAAAGTAGCAGCAAGCTGGACTGGTCAAACTACAAGGAAAAGAAAAGTTATTCACTTTCTTTCGTCTTCATCTGACACCTGCATGATAAAGAAGTTTTGAACATGCTCGCATATCATTAAACAACAAAATGGCTTTACAACACAAGCATTGTTTATAGGTAATCGATGCCAGGGTGACAACTCCACGATAATTTAGAACAACCATTTTCTTTTCCAAGTTTGAAGATGAAACAGGAGAAGGAAATGAAGTCAGCTCAATAAGGAACAGGTGAGCGAACAGTAGGAGGGCCAGATTTCATGTCCTCTACAACTAAGTTCAAGAGAGTCTGGGCTATAGGGCCTTCCTTACCTGCCAGAAATGAAAATGAATCAACTCATAGAAAGACAAGCAGCATTAATTCTGCTAAGCAATAATGATTTAAAAATGGCATTCCAGAAATCTCAACCAAGCACGAAGCAAGAAAAATCCTGATAAAAATTTAATTGTCTAAGCCATCTTGAATAAGAACAAGAAGTACATAGTGACACTAAAAACAACGTGACAACATCGTCAAACAATGACTATGTCTATGACCCCCAATATAGCCCGCAACTACACCTGATCACAAAAAAGAGTATGTGCTTTACAGAAATTAATAACATATAGAAACGCATTATTATTGTCAAGGACCTAGGAACAAGCTTCATAAAGAATCATATCAGAAACCAATCCACGCAAGTGCTATAGAAGCCATGTTGATTCATAATCAATGCAAATATTTAGTTTATATATTAAATCTATAGCATCCATCTTTCAAGAAAGGAAGTAGTATAAGGCTATAAGCACTCACCATCTCCAATGACTTGATCATCCCACTGCACCACGGGGCAAACAAGAACTCCGCTACCAAGAAGCATCATTTCATCTGCATTTTTCCCTTCCTCCACTGTCACATTTTTCATTCTCACACCCCGAATCTTACCTTCTTTCACCAAACTCTCAGCAAGAGTTAAGACTCTTTTGGCTGTGCAACCACTTAGAATTTTGTCAAAATGAGGCATGATAAGCTCCTTCTCTTTATTGACAAAAGCCACATTCATGTTAGGCCCTTCAGCAACAAAGCCATCGTCGTCCAGCCAGATGCCAGCAAAAGCACCATCTTCTTCGGCTTCCATCTTTGAAAGTACATTTGGAAGGTAATTCACGCTCTTTGTGGTGGCAAACTGAGGTGGTTTAATTGGGACAGAAGAAGTGACAACTTTAACTCCCGTGGAGCTATACGGGGACTGACTCTGAATTACAATCGCATAAAGACCAGATTGATGGCAGCCTAAGGAAGATAGCTGAAAATCACCAGGTCCTGATGAGAGCCAATATCTCAATGATCCATTTCTACATTTGGAAGCACTTACAGTTTGTATAAGTATTCTTCGTATGCTTTCACGATCAAACGGGGGGTTTATTTTCGACCTAATAGCTGACCTCAAAAAACGGTCAAGGTGTTGGTCCAGCTCGTACAGGTATCTGGAATGCAGAAAATACATCATTTTAAAGTTCTAGAAACCCCCCCCCCAAAAAAAAGAAAAAAAAAATTTGTAAAGTTTGAAGAAAAAGCAATATATATATTTTTAAAGGAAGACATAATACACCTCTGCCTCTCCGTTACTCCCTCTTTCCTACAGGATCTTTACCATAGAAAACAAAAGGATGTTTAGAGCAAAGAATCCAAGTTCAAATTTTCTCATCTGCACTCACTATATGAGGTGAAAATCAATCACTTACCCATCCATTATTGCTGCGGTATCAAAGACACCATGGCCCCTGTGGACCATGTGGTCGTCCATGGGGATAACCATAGCAGCTGCATCTGTTGTTATCCCACCAAAAATGCTAGAATACATAGCAAGGAATTGCTGCTTGCCCTTTATCTTTCCTCTGTATGCTTTTAGTTTCTCAAAGACCTTGTAACAAGGAAAAAACGAAAGAAGAAGAGGCCATTAGTAATAACCTAATAATCCTTCAAGGACAAATACAAGTCACTTTCTATGTCCTCGTGATTCGTGAGGCAATTGAACTATATTATACTCAACGTATTAAACCACTTCTAGTGAAAGGATACTCAGTTACAAAACATCCTAATTAAATTACCACTCCAAACTTACTTAAAATATTTTTTTTTAAAAAAAAAAACGAGGGCAAAATGAAAAAGTTGGACCTCCAAGCCAGTCAAGAGAGGAACATCGGAAATTCCAGTTTTAGAATCTGCAACGTGAACGCATTCCATTAGTTCGGTAATCAAGACCAGGAACAATTGAGATCCCACAAACGAGTGGGGCCAGATGAAATGCTTGGGATCCCATTTCGTATGCTTTCATCGATTATTAAGCAGAGGAAGTGGCCCATTGCAGATGGAAAAGTGGGAAATGTACCAATAAAACCAGCAGATTGATGGGAATTTCTCACGACCCTTGTTTTCTTAATGGACCCATCTTGAAGAAACCGTTGCGTCAATCGCAGGAAAGGGAGATTTCGCGAACCTGAATATGAAGTTAGATAGATTTGGTTTGGTTCTGGGGAAAAGAGTGGGATTTGTGGTGCGGGTTCCGGAAGGAATAAGATAGAATCCATGACCTTGAACACGGCAGCTCTGGAAAGCGATCAAATAGTATCAGGATTGTTGGTTGACTTTCGAGAACACAGAAGACGGAAACACACCGTACCTCGTAACAAAACATTCCCGTGGGAAAAACTCCTGGGCTTGGCGCCTCAGCCCCACTATGATATCAAAAAACTTAAAAAAATTCCGGGAACCAGGAGTCTGTTTGGATTAGCGCCTGGAAAGATAATTTTTTTTAAAAATAAAGTTAAGTAAAAATTAAATTGAATAAGTTGAATTGTATTTGGATTAGAGTTTAGAAAAGTTAGTTTATAAAAGTGATATTAGTAAAAAGTTGTTTGAATTATGATTGAATAAAAATAAGTTTAGTTGTAAAATTATCAAAATAGATATGAGTTTTAATAAATAATGAAATATGATTGAAAAAATAATTTTACATAATACAGTGAAATTAAAATAATTTAATATAAAGAAGTCAAATTGAATGATTGAATTAAATTTTAAAACTTCATAAAAATCATAAAAAGTATTGTAAATATAATGTGAAACATGAAAAAAAAAATTGATATAATATAATGAAGAAGTAAAATTTAATGAGCGAAATAAATTTGAAAACTTTAGAGAAATTATAAAAAATATTTTTAGATATAAAGTGAAACATGATAAAAAAAATGAATTGACATACTACAATGAATTTAAATGAGGAGAGACAGGAATAGAAATGCACATGACAAGAAAATGATTTTCCAACAATCCAGTATAAGCACGATACAATTTTAAAAAGCTCCTTTCTTGCAACTTATTAAAACGCGCAGTCTAATCAGCAATTTGGAGCTGAAATGGGATGGCCTAAAAGCTGTCCCAAACACCCTTACATAACCAATCGGACTTATCAACTACTTAAACCTCATTTTGGCCCACAAAACGTCCATCCAAACAGGCATTAAATAGAAAGAATAATGAAATTTCACATCCCCACATTTTCCTTTTTCTTACTTGTATTTAAAAAAGATATGTTCGTTGGCAAAAAAAGAAAATATGCTTAGTTGCAAGATGAAAATGTTTTAAACGTTGACTTTGAAATTCTCACATATAATAACTTAGGCTGAGTTGAAAACTCTGGACATCTTGAATGAAATCAGCTTTTATACCAGAGAATGAAATCAATTTTTAATTAAACATCTACTTATATTTATTATTCAACTTTAAAAATATCAGAAACTAACTTTTAAAAAGACAATATACACGGGTTGAAAATGTTAGGAAAGTAAACATTGTGTAGTTACTTACATGAAAAAAATTCCGACTAATGCTACTACTCCTCCGGTCCTAATTATAAGACCCAATTGACTTATTTGAGGAGGCTAAGGAAGTAAGTTAAGTTGGTTATTTATAATAAATAAGTGTTGTCATTCCTAAAATATCCTTGCTAATTAAGTATATTGGCTAAAACTATCATTATTAGAAGGATTATCTTGGAAAAAAATACATAAATATAAGAGACAAAATGGATTGGGGTCTTATAATTAGGACCAAATAAAAAGTCAAATGGGGTCTTATAATAAGGACCGGAGGAGTAATATTTATAGCTTGGTTTTTTATTGTAGAGATATGATATGATATTATGTAAATATTATGTAATTATGATTAGGATATGATATGATATGATATTATCATAATGAGCCATTAATGCAAAGGCTCCTCCCACTTGTATATATATGTGCATATTCTGAGCAATGAAATACAAGAGAATTATTTTCCATATTATTCTGTATTCTACATGGTATCAGAGCGTGAGATTCTTTTTTTGGTGGTAATTTTCTATTGCTACAGTACCAACATTACCGTGTGAGCTTGTAACCCCCGGCGTGGTGCACTGCTCATCAAGTTTTCGGGACTGTTCACTCGGCGTCCGTACATTTCCGTATGGTTCATCGTTTTTTGTGCAATTCGGTTTTGTTTGCAGCTCCCTGTGTAGCTGTTGGTCTTTTCACTACTTAGGTATTCATTAGGTGATTCAGGTATCGTGCTTTGTGTCCCTGTGTGACACTCTTTCGCATTCCTTTTGGTTAGTGCACTTCATCTATGGCTGAAATTAAATCTGTCTCGGAGCTTGTCCCAACTGTTACTAAAATTACTGATCATAAGTTGACTTGGATAAATTATTTGGATTGGAGTAAAACAATTCGTCTCTATCTGCGAAGCATTGAGAAGGAAGACCATCTGACCGATGATCCTCCAACAACTGATTCAAAAAGGGCCTGGTTGCGGGATGATGCACGGCTATTTTTCCAGATCCTTAATTCCATTGACAGTGAGATTATTCCTTCTATTAATCACTGTGAATTGGTTAAGGAACTAATGGATTATTTAGATTTTTTGTATTCAGGAAAAGGAAATATCTCTCGTGTTTACGAGGTCTGCAAAGCTTTCTATCGTTCTGAGAAACAGGATCGCCCTCTCAAAGCCTACTTTATGGACTTTAAGAGGATGTATGAAGAGCTGAATGTGTTAATGCCGCTTACTGCTGATTTAAAGGTTCAGCATAAGCAACGGGAGCAAATGGCTATTATGAGCTTTCTTACTGGTCTCCCACCTGAGTACGACACAGTTCGCTCTCAAATCTTATCCGGATCTGAGATTTCTGACCTTCAAGATGTGTTTTCCAGAGTAATGAGAGCTGAGAATCTCTTGCCACCAGCTGCTAGTATTCCTACAAGTGCCTTGCTCAGTAAGGGCACCTATGAGACTCGTAGTCCCAGTGATAACCGCAGGGGGCCTACCCGTGGTGGTTCGAAGCAAGGGGGAGCCCCTTCTGACTCCAGTGGGGTAGTGTGTTATTACTGCAAAGAACCAGGGCATACAAAACGCACATGTCAAAAACTTCAGAATAAACAGCAACGAAATAACTCTGCCCATGTGGCTACACAAGCCAGTGACACAGTCACGATCTCTGCCGCTGAGTATGCCCAGTTAAAATCTGCTACGCTGTCTGTGAGTGCCGCGGCTACAACAGGTAATAATGCTACTGCCCTTGCTTCTTCTTCCTCAAAGTGGATCATAGATTCCGGGGCTACTGATCATATGACAGGTAACCGCCATCTCTTCTCCTCTTATAATGCTTTTGCTAATCCGTCAAGTGTTTCCATCGCTGATGGTTCCCAGTCTCAAGTTCTCGGTTCTGGCACTGTTAATCCCACTCCCTCTATCCGTTTGTCATCTGTGCTAAATGTCCCTAAACTTGCTTTCAATCTCCTATCTCCCAGTAAACTCACCCGTCAACTAAACTGTTGGGTCTCACTTTTTCCTTCTCATTGCTTGATACAGGATCTTTTGACGAGGCGGATTATTGGTAGAGGTTATGAATCTGGCGGGCACTATATATTGGATGATCGGGTGTTTCATGAGGTGGCTTGCGCTAGCAGTCATTCTCCCTTTGAAGTTCATTGTCGATTGGGTCATTTGTCTTTATCTTCTCTCAAGAGAGTTTATCCTCAATTTCAGCATTTGTCGTCTTTAGATTGTGAGTCATGTCAGTTTGCCAAGCATCATCGTCTTCCCTTAGTGTCTCGTGTCAATAAACGGGTTTCATCCCCTTTTGAGTTAGTCCATTCTGATGTTTGGGGTCCTTGTCCTGTAGAGTCCAAAGCAGGGTTTAAATACTTTGTTACATTTGTTGATGATTATTCCCGAACAACTTGGTTATATTTAATGAAACATCGTTCTGAATTGTTTTCCCATTTTTGTGCCTTTTGTGCCGAGATTAAAACTCAATTTAATGTTTCTATTCGCACCTTACGAAGTGATAATGCTAAAGAATATCTCTCTGCTTCGTTCCAATCTTACATGCTTCAAAATGGTATACTTCATCAATCGTCTTGTGTTGATACACCAGCTCAAAATGGTGTTGCCGAAAGGAAAAATTGCCACCTACTTGAAGTGGCACGTGCACTTTTGTTTCAAATGCAGGTTCCTAAACCATTTTGGGCTGACGCGGTCTCCACTGCATGCTTTCTTATTAATCGAATGCCTTCCTCTGTTCTTGATGGTAACTCTCCTTTTTCTACCCTCTTTCCTTCTAAGCCTTTGTTCCCTATTGCTTCTAAGATATTTGGGTGTGTCTGTTTTGTGCGGGATGTACGTCCATCTATTTTAAAGTTAGACCCCAAGTCTCTTAAATGTGTCTTCTTTGGATACTCCCGGGTCCAAAAAGGTTATCGTTGTTTCTCACCTACTCTCAATCGTTATTTAGTATCTGCAGATGTCATCTTTCAGGAGTCCACACCATATTTCTCGTGTTCTTCCCCACCTGCTACACCTGCGGAGGAGGATGACATTCTATTGTACTCTGTCACTTCACCATCACCGTCATCGCAAGTACCCGCTCCCGCACCCGTTCAACCATTTGATCATGTGTATGCACGATGGTCAAAGGAGATTACTACCGCCACGCCGGCTTCTATTCCTCCCTTGTCCGCTTCGCCATCAGATCCTGAGTTGAGCACCACTGAGCCTCGTTCTGACCCTAATCTTGAGACACCTCCTGTTCCAGACCCAGATGCCTCTCTTGATCTACCCATTGCCCTTCGCAAAGGTAAACGTACTTGTGCCCATCCTATTTCATCTTTTGTTTCCTATGACCACTAGTCTCCTGTGTCCAGTTCCTTTGTTGCCTCCCTAGATACTATCTCTGTGCCCAGAACTATTCGTGAAGCCTTGGCCCACTCGGGTTGGCGTGCTGCAATGAAAGAGGAGATGGCAGCCCTTGATCGGGCAAATACATGGACCCTGGTCGATTTACCGGCAGGCAAAAAGGCCATTGGAGGTAAATGGGTGTTAACTCCGAAAACTAAGGCTGACGGCACACTTGATCGCCTTAAGGCTCGCCTTGTGGCTAAAGGTTATGCACAGACCTATGGCATTGACTATTCTGAAACCTTTTCTCCTGTTGCTAAGCTCTCATCTGTTCGTCTGTTCATCTCTCTGGCTGCTACTTATGATTGGGATTTACATCAGTTAGACATTAAAAATGCCTTCTTGCATGGGGATCTCCATGAAGAGGTCTATATGGAGCAACCACCTGGGTTCGTTGCTCAGGGGGAGTGTGGGAAAGTATGTCGCCTTAAGAGGTCCTTGTATGGTTTAAAGCAAAGTCCTCGTGCATGGTTTGATCGGTTCAGCACTGTTGTACAGAAATTTGGCATGAGCCAAAGCAAGTGCGATCATTCTGTATTTTATCAGAGAACAGCGGCTGGCATGATTCTCTTGGTGGTATATGTAGATGACATTGTGATCACAGGCAGTAATGGTTCAGGCATCTCGTCCCTCAAGTCCTTTCTTAATTCCCACTTTCAGACGAAGGATCTGGGCTCTCTGACATACTTTCTAGGTATTGAAGTTATGAGAAGCAAGAAGGGCGTATTACTGACACAGCGCAAATATGTCCTTGACCTACTAAAGGAAACTGGGAAGTTGGGAGCAGCACCGACTAATTTCCCTATGGTTCACAACCCACTCCTTGACGCTGATGGGAGCATACCGCCTGATGACTCTCTTGATGATGAGAAACGGATGCTTGAGACTCAAAAGAGCAAACCATTTGAGAATCTTGAGAGGTACAGGAGAATGATTGGCAAGTTAAACTATCTCACTGTAACTCGTCCGGATATTACTTATTTAGTTAGTGTACTAAGCCAGTTCATGGCATCCCCGACTATCAGACAGTGGGAAGCCTTGGAACACGTGTTACATTATTTGAAGGGATGTCCAGGTCGTGGGATATTATACAAAAATCATGGTCATACAGACATTGAGTGCTTCTGTGATGCGGATCATGGTGGATCAAAGGCCACGAGACGGTCTACTACAGGATACTGTGTCTTTGTGGGCGGGAATCTGGTATCCTGGAAAAGCAAGAAACAAAATGTGGTGTCCCGATCGAGCACAGAGGCAGAATACCGGGCTATGGCACAGTCTGTATGTGAGATAATCTGGATATATCAGTTACTGACGGAGGTTGGCCTCAAAACTACTTTGCCAGCAAAGTTGTGGTGTGACAATAAGGCTGCCCTACATATAGCCTCTAATTCTGTGTTCCATGAACGTACCAAACATATTGAGATTGATTGTCACTTTATCAGAGACAAGCTTAAAGAGAACTTCATCTCTACTGGATATGTTCGCTCTAGTGATCAATTAGGGGATCTTTTGACTAAGGCTCTAAATGGGACTCGTGTTGACTATTTGTGTAACAAGTTGGGCATGATTAACATCTATGCTCCAACTTGAGGGGGAGTGTAGAGATATGATATGATATTATGTAAATATTATGTAATTATGATTAGGATATGATATGATATGATATTATCATAATGAGCCATTAATGCAAAGGCTCCTCCCACTTGTATATATATGTGCATATTCTGAGCAATGAAATACAAGAGAATTATTTTCCATATTATTCTGTATTCTACAATATTTTTAACTTAGCTTTTCAGAAATATAGAGATGTTTTCGCCTGTTATTTTTTTAAATATGAGTAAAACTATAAGATCTTTAATTAATATTTTAAAATTTTGGAGTTTTCTTGTAATTCTAGTAATAATTTGGATTAGTCCTTTGTTTTTTCCTGGTCTGAGATCTGTTTTTTTGGGCCAGTTCGATCTGTTAGATATTTAAGTAGACATTCTTTCCAGGAATACTCAATTCGTAAGACCAACCCAAAGCATTAATATGGAGTATCTAAATGAGAGGCCCAACTTGAGCCCATCGGGTCCATTTGGGAATCATCATGGTTGGATTCCGGGTTAACACTAAAACCACTTAACCCAAAAAAAAAAAAAAGCTAAACCTAAAGAAGCTCGCTCTTCTGCGTTCTTCTTCGCGGTGACTCTGAACGAGCCTCTTCGAAGTTCTGTCCTTGCATTACAGCCATGGCTTCCCACGAATACGATGATGTGCGTGCCGGTTACGACGACCACCGACAGACACCATCACAGTCTCAAGACCTGGGTTATGATCCGAATTTCGTACCCGATTCTGTGAAGTCATTTGTTGTCCACCTCTATCGCCACATCCGAGAGAAAAATGTGTACGAGATCCATCAGATGTACGAGAACTCTTTCCAAACTCTCTCGGAGCGTCTCTTCAAGGATACTCCGTGGCCCTCTGTGGATGCTGTCGCTAACTACGTTGACAATGATCATGTGTTTTGCCTCCTGTACCGCGAGATGTGGTTTCGTCACCTCTATGCTAGGCTCACGCCAACGCTTAAGCAGAGGATAGATTCCTGGGACAATTATTGCAGCCTCTTTCAGGTTGTGTTGCATGGAGTTGTCAATATGCAGCTACCCAACCAGTGGTTGTGGGATATGGTGGATGAATTTGTTTACCAGTTTCAGAGCTTCTGTCAATATAGGGCCAAGATGAAGAACAAAACCGAGCAGGAAATTGCGATTTTGAGGCAGTATGATCAGGTAATTCTCCTTGCGTCCGAAAATGAATGTATGGACATTGCATTATTTTATCACTCTTCCGTGGGGACGGGTTTGTGGGTCAAATTTATTTGTTTTCTTAGCTTGGTAGAGGGAGATATCAATTATGCAACGGATAGGAAGTTCCTTACATGCAATAAATTCATCTCAAAACAATTTGAGTTATCTGAGCAATTCTTCGCCCTTGCTGGTTGCCTAACAGTTAAGCCGTAATCTTGATGTCTTCGTCTCGTGGTGGAACTTGCCTTTCATATTATATTTTAAGAGTAATATACTACTATGTCACAGGCTTGGAACGTGTATGGTGTCCTCAACTTCTTGCAAGCCCTTGTCGAGAAGTCCATGATTATTCAGATTCTTGAGCAAGAAAAAGAAGGCCTGGAACAGTTTACTGCTACTGATGGGTATGATTACAACGGAGGGAGTAATGTCTTAAAAGTTTTGGGGTATTTCAGCATGGTAGGATTGCTGCGAGTTCATTGTCTTTTGGGTGATTATCATACAGGCCTCAAGTGCTTGCTTCCTATTGATATTAGTCAACAAGGCGTTTACACCAGTGTTATTGGAAGCCACATTACCACCATATATCATTATGGTTTTGCCAATCTTATGTTGCGGAGGTGCGGTGATTCCCCCAGGGGATTTTGGTTAATGTTTGACTGTTTAATTACTTTATATGCTTGCTTCTCTTATATGATGCTATATTCCCAGACTTTAAAATTCTTTTCTACATGTGATTACTGTTTCTCATCTCCTATTGATCATTGGAGCTGGAGTTAAGATATATGGACCACGAAATGGTGATAATTGACCTCTGATTCCTATGATTTCATTCCAGTTATTCAATGAACCCCAAATTTTCGTTTTTGTTGGTGAAGAAAACTGTATTGACTGTACCATTTTTGCATCTTTCACAGATTTAGATCTGTGCCATGCTTTTTTTTTTTTTTTTTCCGGGTGTGCTCCATTCAATTGTAGCTTTGCTGCTATTACTTTTATTTACATTTTAAGACATAAGTGCTATAGTGTTCTGGTATTTGTATTGTTCTTGTATTCTTTTCTTCGTCTTCATCATTTAAATATATGATCTAATTTGTAGCCTTTTCTTCAGGTATGTGGAAGCAATTCGTGAATTTAACAAAATTCTCTTGTATATCTATAAGACAAAACAGTATCATCAGAAATCCACGCAGTATGAACAGATACTGAAGAAGAATGAGCAAATGTATGCCTTGCTGGCTATTTGCCTGTCACTCTGCCCCCAAAACAGGCTTATTGATGAGACTGTCAGCTCTCAGTTGCGGGAGAAGTACGGTGAAAAGATGATTAGAATGCAAAGATATGACGATGAGGCTTTTGCTATCTATGATGAGCTCTTTTCGTATGCATGCCCCAAATTCATCACCCCATCAGCACCTAGTTTTGAAGAGCCTCTAGTTAATTATAACCAGGTATGCCTTAATCAATCTGAACCAATAGAAAATCTGTGGATTTGAGTGCTTAGTCTCCATGGGTTTCTGATTTGAAGTTTATAATTGATTTTTTTAATTTTCTGTTAATGTGGTAAAGGTTAGTGATCACCTTCCATTTACAATTATAAAAGGTGGAACAAAAACTTTGTAGGTTAGGATTGTCTACCCCCACCTCCTAAAAGAAATGTGGGAAGAGAATGAAAGGGATCTTGCTAAAGGTTCGGCTGAGCCGCTAGCAAACTGTGTTAAAGTGGATTTGAACATTTCGGACCCAAAGTTCTTGTTAACAGAGTCATATAGGCCCAATTCTTTTGCGTTCATTTTCCTACGAGTACTTTCTTTTGCCAAGCAGAATAGTCATTCATATACTGTACTTCTCCAATTTCAACATGTTATGCAGACCTCATTTTAACCTTGGCATCCTTTGATTAAGGCTTTATGCTGATCTGGTTAAAGTTGTTTCACTTGATAGGGATTACTGTTTGGACAGTCTCCAATCACCCCCCCGGGTGATTTGCTGATTCTTTTCCCTCTTTTTCAGGATGCCTACAGACTTCAGTTAAAACTGTTCCTTTATGAAGTGAAACAGCAACAATTGTTATCAGGTGTTCGGACCTTCTTGAAGGTCTATTCAACAATCTCTCTTGCAAAACTTGCTAGCTACATGGAAGTTGACGAAGCCAATTTAAGGTTACAACTTACAACGCATACAATTCTTGGATCATGTTTACTTGTTTCTGTATATGATTAGCCTCTTATCTTGTATGCATGGAGCTCAAAAAGGCAGTTACTATTTCCTGGCGAAACGGCTTCCTACTATAGGTTTTATATGGACTAGACTAGAAGTGGATCCTGATCAGGGAGAGACACATTGTTCACTGCTTGTGGATAATGCGGCTCCCTATAACTTTTAATAGATAGATTATTGATTTTGTAAACAATTATTTCACATCCTTTCTAATATGATGCTTGGCAGGACCATTTTGATGACATACAAGCATAAAACTCATGCCGTTGATAGTGGTGGAAAAGTTATATCCAATGCTGATGTGGATTTCTACATTGATGATGTAAGCATCTTCACTTTTTCTCCTTTCGTAACCTTTCCTCTTCAAGGGATTCTGATCCTTAGTACTGGCCGAGTGTTAACAGAATTTCTATCAGTGTTCTGTTCAAATAAACTTGAACTTGAACTAGGTTGGCCATTGCTTTTGTGGCTTAGTTGACTAGTTTCTTGCTTTTATCTTGTATTTACACCGGTAACTAAAGAAGGATATTAGTGAATGGGCTCAGTTCTTGAACACCTTGTGCCACCGTTATAAACATTGGACATATATGTAGTGCTATACAAAAGTTAGGTTTTAAGAATGCAGATGTGTCTATCTTGTAGTCATCTATAATATTATTTCTCTTTCGGATTACATCTGGATGGTTCAAAGGATTGAGAAGTTTACAAGGTACTTCCCATGGTCGGATAATGTTTGTTCATTGATGCTAAAAAAGGAAAAGAGATCTTTGGGACATTATGGGTCCGTCAATGAGGGTGATATGGATCTTGCTAATTTGCTGTTCAAAAATTTTGCTTTTGCCCACTCTTCGAACAGAAATTTCTCATTGGCAAACCACTTTGGAAACCAGAGATTTTTCCAAGGTCAATTGCCTCGCTTTGGTTGAACCCATTATTGTATTTTCAGGGATTCCTTTCAACCCTTGGATATGATCCGGGGAAGGATAGCTTCGATTTCTAATCTTTGGTGTTTAGTCCCTCGTCTCTTTACAGATATTAAAAGCTCTTGGAGGGTCTTTTTGTATTTTTTTCCTCTTTTCCTTGTGTGTTCTGTTCACTGTGTTTATTATCCTCCTTTTCTGTATGGAACCAATTTTATCTTTCGATTGACTGGGTAATTTACTGCAGGATATGGTTCACGTTATGGAGTCTAAGCCCCCCACGCGATATGGGGATTACTTCTTGCGTCAGGTAGTCAAGGTATGTTAATATTCGCACCGTCACATGACTATGGCTCTTAGTTTCATGAATCATCTTATTAGATGGGCACTTAGTAATCCTGGCACGACTTTTTCATTTGCTGGTGTATGCAGCTTGAGGGCGTTATCAACGAAATAGACGGTATAAAGCTGGAATAAGCTGCATGTGCCTTTTCGCCCTTCTAGGCGGTTTTCTCCCGGAGGTGTCATAGCGTACTTTTTTTGCGGTGGGGGATGAGAGTAGCTCTCTAAATGTAATACTAATTTTTGCTTTACACAATGGAGCAATTAGTGCTTCTAACGGCGGAAAAGTCCCTATTAGTCCTTCAATTGTGTTAGCAGTTTATTGTGCTTGATGTTTTCTTATCTGAACAATGGTTTTCTCATCCAGGGCCTTCACCACGAGTCCCCCATACGAGAATTTCCGAGGAAAATGCATTAAAGAATTATTTTCTAGGCCAAGTCCATGTTCACATACTGGGTTTTGAAATATTTTTCGAATGAAAAAAGTAAATGGAAAATTATAGGGAAAAAATTCTTAATTCATTGGCGTTACTAGAAAAATAATAAAAGAAAGATGCATCCAACTTTACCGAGATGGGTTGATTTTGTCCGAAGCATTGTGTATAGCATATGCAAGACAGTATAACTTTTGGAATTATGGCTGCGAAGTTGGTGTGGATGCGAGAATCGAAGCCGCAAGATTATTAGTCTTGGGTGCTAATTGTCTACTTCATAAAAAAAAAAAAAGGTAGCTTCACGCAACATATGATGATTGATGGTGGCATCATGATATATCTTTTATTTTATTTTTGATACATTAAAAACAAATATGCGGTGTCTTTCATCCATAAAAATAAACTGGTTTGACTAATCCGTTACTTCTCAGAAGCGTCTAATATAACGGTTCTGGCAAGAAAAGATATTTTAATTAAAAAAATTATTCATAGATATCAAATTAAAAAAATTAAATAAAAAATTGAAATTTTTTTATATTTAATTCTTTTTACTTGAGACTTATAAAATTTTTTTGTAATCGTGGACTTGAGAAAAAGCAAAAATAAATACTCCGAGAAAGTTTGTCTAAAACGAGAAAGTAACAAAGGGACCCATGAACCCAATCGGACACGTCACGAGGGGAGAGGGATGCGCATCATGCGCCGCGTAGCGTAAGCTTGTAGTGGGATCATGATGGCGGGGAATTATTTGTTCGAGGGTCGAGGCGGCAACACACAATCATAATCACCCAAAGTTGGTTGAATTAAAGTAGTGATTATTTTACTTTCCGTATTGATCCGAGCGAACTATCAAAAGTTTCAAACCGAATACAGCATGCGCCCACGGGTCCCTATCCCTGGTTTTTCCACCTCCTCTTCTTCTTCTTCTTCTTCCCCCTGCGATCGCAGACTTGCCACTCTTGCCAGACACCTGCTTCCAATGGATACTCACGGTGATTCCATTTCCGCCTCCCCAACCTCCGCTTTCCAGGCTGATTCTGTCTTCGCTCACGTCGTTCGTGCCCCCGAAGATCCTATCCTTGGGGTACTCTCTTCTTTTCTTTTCTTTTTTGTTGATCGTTAGCTAATCAACTTTACTCTCTTCGAAAATTTGATCGAATGGCGTGTTTGGTGTTGTTTGACTTACGGAAATTTTAAGTTGCCTGAATTTTCATGTGCCTCTGATGATCAATATGTTTATCATATCGGACACGAGTTAGTGGCTTGTAATTGATGTTGGCTAGAGTTCTCTTATTACGGAAACAACGGCTCAAATCTATAACAGTTGTTCGCTGTTTGTTTTCTGAACCACTTCACCCATAGGGAGGTGGGAAATCTGTTTGTTGATTGACCGAAGGTATGATTGCTCATTTGATCCAATTGAAGGACCCGATCAGGTCGAACCTTCGGGTTTCTCTTTTGATTTCCCGGAAAATCAAGTCACGAACCTTGCTACGTTGTCTTTGATACATTAACAGAGTATTACATGTGAATGCTCATGCTGCACGGCATTTAATTTAATTTAATGGGTTGTTGCGTGTTTTGATTGTCAATCCTTATTTAGTAACACACGGAATCTTTTGGCACTGACCCCACCTACGCTTTTATTCGAGGCTATTTTAAGATATTTATTTGTATATTTTTACTTATGGTGTTTATTTTCTGACTTCTTTTTCTGGCATGTTTTAAACTAGGTCACTCTAGCTTACAACAAAGATCCAAGTCCAGTTAAGTTGAATTTGGGTGTCGGTGCTTATCGAACTGAGGTGAGTGCTACTCTGTTCCAGTTCTGGTTATTAATTGTCTGTAAACAATTGGCACCGTGGGAATGGACAAGATAAATTTGATCTGGCTTGATATTGTTGATTTTTTATTTAGGACTGCGTGGGGATGATGGAACCCGAGCCAAATGAACATGAAATAATTCTGATATTGATTTAACTCAATAAAACATGATAGAGAATCCCATTGTAGCAACTTGTGCAAAATAGAGCCATACTAAGACAGAGAAATAGCAGAATAGAACTGCGGGAAAAGAAAAAAGGCAAGGAAAAGGAACAAGGAACTCTCCCTAAGCTCTCTCCTCATACAAAGCCAAATTCTACTTTAGCCTCCTTCTCTCCTTCTACATTTGTAAATATTCCCGCCACCAGCCAACTCTATCCCTTCTCCATCTCTTGTCCTATGCAACAGCTAACTAATGCAGACCTTGGCCTGACAACTATAGGCTCATTAGGAGACCTGTAATTGAGAATTTCTGAATACATGGAGATGGCAAGTTTCACTTTATGCTTCAACTGTAGTGACTAACTTGGTTCAGCTATGCTATAACAGGAAGGAAAACCTCTTGTTTTGAATGTAGTGCGACGAGTAGAAGAACAACTGGTTAATGACAGGTTAGTGGGCATCTATACTTTTTTTTGTTTTCATTTGAACTGTATTATTTTTAATATTAAACTCTTAAGGGATTTTACTCTGTATCTCTTTCAGGTCACGCAACAAGGAATACCTTCCTATTGTTGGGTTGGTCGATTTCAATAAACTGAGTGCTAAACTCATTTTCGGTGCTGACAGGTTAAAAATATAACTTTCCCCTTTTATTTTATTCTAATTTATTTTTAAAAACATATCCTTAACGAACACATGTTTAACTTGAAAGATAATTTGTTGGCTTATTTTATTGGATGTAGCCCTGCTATCCAAGAGAACAGGGTAACCACTGTTCAATGCCTGTCTGGAACTGGTTCATTAAGAGTTGGAGGAGAATTTTTGGCTAGACATTATCATCAAGTATAATTCTTCATCCTCAACTTTCTTCCTCTAATTTTCCTTGAAAACTGATTACTATATAGTGCCAACTGCAAATTTACATATTTGACTTTCCGGTCTCTTTAGCGAACCATATACTTGCCCCAGCCAACTTGGGGGAACCACCCAAAGGTCTTCACTCTAGCAGGATTGTCAGTCAAAACCTATCGCTACTATGCTCCAGCAACACGGGGGCTTGACTTTCAAGGTCAGAAATTACATGTCATATCAGCTTATGAAGTGCTGGATCCTGATCTTTTTTGTATTTTTGTCAATGTGCATTGTGATTCTGGCTTTGCATGTTAAGTAATATTTTTCTAGTTTCTAACAGGACTCGTAGAGGATCTTGGTTCTGCCCCATCTGGATCTGTTGTTTTGCTACATGCCTGTGCCCATAACCCTACTGGTGTTGATCCGACCCCTGAACAATGGGAGCAGATTAGACAACTGATAAGATCAAAAGCGTTGTTACCTTTCTTTGATAGTGCTTATCAGGTAGGTCTCTTGAATGCAACAAATATTTCAGTGCTTCCTTCTTAATATGAAGAACTTCTTTGGAATGATGATATAGTAGTCCATCAACCACCCAAAAATTAGGAAGCAAACCACAGAATTCAAGTTTCATAAACTAAATTCTTAGCATGATCCATGATAGACCTTGTCTGCAATATAGTTTTTATTTATTATGCTTTAAATATTTGATTATGTGTTTTTCAAGAAAAAAAATGTGTCTTTTAAGGCAATCATCTTTTGGTGCTACAGGGTTTTGCTAGTGGAAGTCTAGATGCAGATGCACAGTCTGTTCGTATTTTTGCTGCTGATGGGGGCGAATTACTAGTTGCCCAGAGCTATGCAAAGAACATGGGGTTGTATGGAGAACGTGTTGGCGCTCTAAGCATTGTAAGAGTTGAACTTTTGAGTGCAAATCATCTGATATGTGTTCCTCCCTCTTTAAAATGAGTTTTTTTCTCGTTAAATAATTTCTCCAGGAAAAAAGGTTCTGGTGTTTGCTTCAGAGAGCTGACTCATTTTTTTTTTTTTTTTTGTTTCTAAAATCTTAATTCAGGTCTGCAAATCAGCTGATGTTGCAAGTAGAGTTGAGAGCCAGCTGAAACTTGTGATCAGGCCGATGTACTCAAATCCTCCCATTCATGGTGCATCTATTGTAGCTGCCATTCTCAAGGATAGGTAATTAGTGATGATTCTTTTAGTTGCTTCGCTTGTTTATTAGAAGAGATAAATTTAGTTGTTTAGATTGCTTCTAATGGCTGTGCTTTGGTCCTTCCAGTGTATGTCAATTATATTTTAAGGTAGACTCAGTTTTTAAAAATAAATGTAAATTATGTTTATCTTATACTTATTGAAAGTGAATCTCATTGAAAACATCCCTTGCATGTGTTTAGTCATCATTGAATTTGATACATCTATTTTTATAAATTAAGTTTAATTAAGAATTAAGAAATTTTCCATTTAGTGCTGCTAGAATTGAGATGCTGGTATGTATTGCATTTTTGGGTAATATTTCCTGAAGCCTTTTGTTATGAAGACCCTTTTTATCTACATCTTTCAGGGACTTGTACCATGAGTGGAGTGTTGAGTTGAAGGGAATGGCTGACCGCATTATTGCAATGCGCCAACAACTTTTTGATGCTTTGCGTGCCCGAGGTCAGTTTTCTGATAGTCTCCCCCATACACAGTTCTCTTTAGTGGTTTCTGGGGCGGATCATTATCTTGGTGGTTACACCTGTCTTAAGTTTTTAAAATTTTTCTGGGTCTGCGCTCACCCATTGTGGATGTTGCTTATCGAAGTTTTATTTGGTTTTCCTTCAAAATTGAGCAGGTACTCCTGGTGACTGGAGTCACATTATTAAGCAGATTGGAATGTTCACTTTCACGGGATTAAATGCAGAGCAAGTTTCCTTCATGAACAAAGAGTACCATATATACATGACATCTGATGGGTACGTTGCTGTAGACTCTCTAGACTTCTGGGGAGCTCTCGTTATGCTCCAGCAGCAATCATATCCAAAATATGAGTTGATGTCCCAGTGTTTTTCATAGGATCGAAACAATATGAATATCTTTCATTATTGATAAACGTTATCTCTTACTAACGCATGAGTTGGGAAAATCGTTGCGGGAGTTATTTAGGTAGGATATATATATATATATATTTTTCAGATGATCCAATCAGTGTGTGTTGAATGTGCAGGAGAATTAGCATGGCTGGTCTGAGCTCCAAGACCGTCCCCCATTTGGCGGATGCAATACATGCAGCTGCAACTCGAGTGGCCTAGAATATGATTCCGATATGATCCTATTTCTTTCAATTCTCTGTTCCATTTTTAGAGAAATAGGATGAGCTATAAGGAGAGAAGGCAATAAAAAATCTATTTTGGATGGCAATAACACTCATCTGCCCGCTGTGGAGGTCTTCAATCTGTTTATCGTGACATCAACGACTATTTGTGGTTTAACTTGTTATGAGAATTTAGAACTCAGATCTACACATTTTATGTTTGAACGTTAAACCGCAATTTTGTTTATCAAAGCGTGCAAGGTAACTGTCATCCAAGTAGCCAAAATGCAGCAAATTTCAAGCCGCTTCCTTTATCTACTTGGGCACATATTACTTGCCAGGTGCAATAAAATAACGATAATGTGACGTTAGGAAATTGCTACGATTTTGCGTTATAAGCTTACGTGAGCAGAGGATTTGAAAGTTTTCCGGAGACAAAATAAGCCTCCAATTTGAATGCAATTTTAGTATTCAAATTGAGACGCTACTTCATGATTAAATGGCTAAATCCTTTTTCTAATAGACGTGAAGTTGAGAAAAACGGCTACAAATCATCGTGCGGAAGGAATTCTGATCACTTAGGCATGAAATCTCAGTTTGGATGTGAATGAACAAAACATCAGAGAGCTGCCCCAAATAAAGCCAGACAAGATTCAATTCTGACCCAATAAAATAGCCATATTTAAAAAACAGCTTCATGAAAAAAAGTTCATATTCCATTTCTAAAAATTAACAAACGGAAACAACTTGATGAATCTTATAAAATGACTAACATTTCATCTTCAACAGTGGATTACATTCCCGTATATATCTTGACGCGGATAGAAATGGCCTAATAGCTTGGGTTCTGATGGATCGAGGGAGAATCGTAGGATTTGGAGGAAGGTTTGCTATCGCGAACAGTAATATTTGGTTGATGAGAGTTTCTTCAACAGGAAGGTAGGTAATGTCTCGGACTCCATGGCTAAATAAATGTGCGCCGGTCCTCCAGTCAGACAATACGGGATTTGGCAAGAGTGTTCATGCAGAGTTTTGGGCGAGCTCGTTGGGATCGAAGATGGCTTCCTTGAAACATACTAGTGGCTTGGATGCAGGCTAAGTTGTTTTGGTCATCTTCCCCTTATATTAAAAACTAAGATAAAATAACACTCATTCTTTCTTTACCTCGAATAAAAATCATTGAAAACACATTTCATATAACTTAAACCTAGATTCATTTCAACAATCGGGTTAGGATGGGAGGGGCTAAGCATCATTCCGTCGTCCGTGTGAACCTCCAGAGTTTGGTCACGGCTGTGTCATTGTAACAAGCATCCCATACACGAGTAACTCACAGGTATCACTCGACAAGATCAGATAACATCCACTTTCAAGATGGGACGACTCGATTCAAGTTCACGTGCACATGTACAATTAAGAGACACGGCACAAAGTGTATGGCAAGATATGATCATGTAATAAAGAATGCAAATTGCACATTTGCCTCCCTATCCTGAAGATGGCATAATCAATTTCCAGACATTACAAGAGAACCGCATGGAGAATAAATAATGCAGAGGAAGCAACTATATTTGTTACCTTTCATATCAGGTTAGATTTCCTTTCTATTTTTGCCCTGTTCACCTTGTTCACAAACTCATTGAGAAGCTTCTCCACACTCACACTTACTAATCTAATTATGAAGTATAAAACCAGATAACGGTGCTCCTCCAACCTGCTTTGAAAAGGGGAGAAAAATGCACAGCTCTGCGTGTAAATAACATTCATAACGTTTCGGTGTTGAAACCCAACTTGACCAACATTTATTGTAGTTTCCTTTAAATTGGACAAGGTCGTGTAAAAAATGATGGTTTTGTTCGCATAGGTGAATAACTTTCCTGTATTCCTGGCTCAGATAAAAATGATCCAAAACAAGTCAAAAGAATCACAGTTTCATAAACTTATCTTAGCCTCAGCTACGGGGCTCTGTCAAAGGGTTGTGTGTCATTGTAACAAACATCCCAAACAGCTTCCATGGCATCTTTGGCAGCCGCTTCGGAGCAATTAGGGTTTCCAGACACTGAAGCCCTAACTCTTCGTCTCACACATTCTTGTTCATGGCCACGTATCTTCAAATGACCTCGCAACAGTTCCCGTTTGTAATGACAATCACCACTTAGATGATTGGCTCGGATCTCGCTACAAGCATGGTGAGCACAATTATTCCAATCCAAGTTGGCAGCACGACACTCATCAAACGCATGAATCAGTTCATGAGCTATCACCTGGTTAACCTCATCTTGTAAATTTATTTTATTCACACACACTACTATCCCTTCACCGGGAATGTAACCGCCACTTCTGTTCACGTCGCAATTTACAGCTCTGAAGAAATTGTTGCCCACAGGACAACCGGCTTTCTCCAAGCGTTCCCTCAAAAATTTCACCATCGGAGTTCGGAGGCTTTTCTGGATCATGGATTCGCATTCCTTCACGGTTTTTCCGCCGCCGTAAGCAGACGATGACGCCGCTTGCTCTTCCATGCTTCAGTTCAGAGACGGGGAAACACCCTAGGCATAGGGTGAGATTTCATTCAACGTGCGCCGTTAGTTTTAAATAAATCTACTTCCCTTGGGCCAACCTCATTTTTTCATAGAAAGTTTGGGCCAGCCTTTGTGACCTGCATCCGTTTATCTCGTCCGAATGGAGGGAGAGACTTTTTTTTTCTTCACAAAAAATTGAATTAAAAAAGCACTTATTATCGAGAGACTTTTGGGAATATGTTTTCTGCAAAAACAAACTTCAAGGCTCCTCTGGTGGCCCAAATTCAAAACAACTGGTCGGATTCCGACGGAAGCAACGCAAGGAATCTTTTCCCCCTTTCACCTCGTCTGATTCGATCCTCTAGATATTACTATACTCCTCCGTTCTAATTATTAAGACCCAATTTATGACTTATTTGAAGAGATTAAGGAAGTAAGTTAAGTTGATTATTTATAATAAATAAGTGTTGTCATTCAAAATCCTTGCTAATTAAATATATTGGCTAAAACTATCATTATTAGAAGGATTATCTTGAAAAAAATGCATAAATATAAGAGACAAAATAGATGGAGTTTATAATTAAAACCAAATAAAAAGTCAAAATGAGGTTTTATAATAAAAACCAAAAGAGTACATATAAAATAAATAAATTAACAAAGTCACTTATTTATAATTCATAATTATAGCACTTATCTTAAACCTTGTGCAATTATAAAATATACGCCACGCCGTCTTTTAATATTCTTGGCACGGTCTAGCCTGCCAATACAAATCGAAGTTCAAGATTCAAAGAATTTTACCATAAATTTTATACCACAATTAGACGTAACCATGACACACAGCTCATGAATAATGCTTCTCTCTAGATTTTCTATCTTATATGTTTATTTTTATTGACTGCAACGAAAGAAATAATAAATTTAACAAGATTAGCATTAGCATTCAAGCCAAGGGTAAACCAAAAACCAAACTAGAAGAGCACAACAGACCGTTATAATGGTTGCTTAACAAGGAATTGTAGTTGGTCACCTTCGACCACGAATAAACCAAGTTTAAAACCAGCGTTGAGCAAGGTTCTGTGTCAGGTATCGTCGTCATCAGGCACAGAGGTAAATCACTTTACCCCCCGCAAATCCCCCCTATTTTTCCCTCGCCTCAAACAGCACACACTACGAGCTCTCTTAATCCAGGTAGGCAGATTACTACCATTTCAACTTCTAAGGTTTGGTTATTCAATCAATATCTTCATCTGTTGGGTGGCAGATTGGTCGCCAGTTAATTATATCCAATCAGCAATGCTTACATGAAATCGTCCTCCAGTTCCTGCAATGATTTACTGCCTGAAGCTATTTGTTTATTGGATGTCATATTTTCTGACACCATCAGACCTTTGTAGCTCCTTAGTTCTGCCTGCCTCTCCTTTTCCATTCTGTCCAATTCTTCCCGCCGTTTCTGTACAAAGAAACAGAAACATATGAGTTTTACATTCGGTAAATCACATGTTCAACAAGTTTTCGCATTTAGGCAAGACAGTCTACTGGGCATGCAGAACTAACTGGATGCCAAGAGAAAGGACATTTCACCAACTAAATGAATGCAAAATGAATTTCACATATTCTACAATCTGCAGCCCAAAGACAAATGTCACTAAGACATGTTTTAAGAATCATACCCGCAAGAAACCCTACAATACGGTCCTAGATTCTCAACACGTCACAAACATCTACTACTTAATATGGCAACTTAGCCAAGAATCACACTGAAAGCATTTTACCACATGTAGTTATTATGAAAAAACCGTCTTTATATTCAAGTTAAGCTCTAGTTACAGGTTGACTATTGAAATCTGAATATGACTGCAGATTATGCTGTGTATAGAAATTGGGAATCTGACAGCAATACTTGGCTGTACTATTACCAAAACAGCGATCCTACCAAACTCACCTTTTCCCTCAGCTGTTGTTTCCTTTCTGCTCTTTCAGCAGCATTAACTGCTTCTCGCTCAGCTGCAATACAGACAGCAAACACATATCATGAGTAATATACAGGCTTCACTAGGGCAAATATTGGAAAATATTCAATTTCAAGATCAGACAAGTCAAATCAAATTTACAAACATGTATGAATGAAATACCCAAATGGCAACTTAGACTACGGCTCAATATGATCATGTAATTCAACATGTAAATGGCATATTTACTCCCTAGCCTAAGAATAACATACTCAATTTCCAGCACTCAAATGTACAAAAGGTAACTTTATGCAGAATGATCATAAAAGGAAAGCAACTATGTTGATTACCTTTCAAATCAGGTTTCCTTTCCACTTTTGTTTTGTTCAACCTGTTCACAATCTCATTGATCCGCTTCTCCACTCTCACAGTTCGAACCTAATTATTAAGTATAAAACCAGATAATGATCAATTATAAATGCATTCCAAGACACAAACTCCCTACCTTACGGCCTTGAGGATGAAAAATAGCAAATTCTCAGCATGTAAAAAACATTCACCATTTTTGGGTTGTGAAAACCAACTTGACCAACATCCATTGAAGCAGTTTTCTTTAAATTGGACCAGGGAGTGTAAACAACATCAACATTGTTCACCTTATTTCCTGCCATGATTTCATTTTAAAACGAAAATGTAAGATCAAAACAAGAAGGGTCGTAAACACAAAAAGTTGTTTGACAAGAAAATACTGACATAAGAGGGTTAAAAGTTATGCATCCGTTTCTTTAAGCCTAATAACAGAGTTGCCGTCAATCTGACATTCAGTTATAACTTTTAGGGCGTGTAACTAAAGAAACCACAATGATCAATTATACTAAGGAATTGAAGAGCAGACGGTCAGCCCTTTTTCACCTTGAATTGAATTTGCTTTGACAAGCTGAGCACAGTCTTCCAGCAAACCTTCGCTTATATCATCAATAGTCTGACCTTTATGCAGTCTAACATAGACATGGGCGGAAGACATTTTATCCACATGGAACCTGCAAGGTATGGACAATCAGACCCTATCGTTATAGCTTCAAAATGGAGAAGTGAGTGGGGAAACTATCTGAACAAACCCTACATTGGAAGGGGGAAAAAAAAATAGTTGCCTGATAATATTATGCATTCATACTAATGTACCGTTCTTTTAAGTTGGAAAGTAATGAACCATTCAAGATAATATATTTATATATATATATGTTACAACTTACAAGTTCCAAATAACGGTATTGAAATCATAAAGAGAATTTGTCTTCAAATCCTTTGTTTTTTTTTCCCAAAAATTCTAAATTGATAAATAGCAAAGACATATTAAAATCAAAATAGAACAGCAGGCAAATTAAAATAAAATACTGGAAAACAAGCAAACAAAGCTATACTTTTTCCGTAAGGTGAATTTGTAGATAAACCGCCGAGAAAATAAAGAAATCAAGCAGTAATTCAGGCGATACAATTACGAATGTGTAAGCATCAAATGCGTCTTTTTATCAAAAAGAAACTGCAACCCCAAACCCTGTACGTTCGGTATTCAAGGTGCATACGGAGTTGTAAACATAATTGTCTCTGAATTCCAATAAAAAAACGCAAAGGCAGGAATGGATTACCAGATGTCTTCGGGGAAACCGTATCTGATAAGCTCCTCGTTCTCGTATTTGTCAAGACCCATGAAGATGGTGTAATCACCGGCTTCTGGGCGTGCTTTGAAGTAGAACACCATGGTGTTTCTTTGCTTTTACGCAGTCAAGAGGGGGAAGGAGGGAGCGATCGATCGATCGATCGATCGAGCAAGCGATAGAGTGTGTTAGGGTTCTGAGCTTGAGAGGGATAACCAGGCCCCCGTTACCAGTTTAAAAACGCAACAAATATAGGAAAGGCCCCTCATTGTCAATTTCCCATTTATTTCCGATTTCCACTAAAAACAGTATGCCGAAAAGACAAATAGGGCATCCGGGTCAGTTCACACAGTGGTAAATGTTTATGGTGAATTTCTTAAAATCTTTTACCTCTCATAAAAAAATCGTTTTCCGACTCGCGGCAAATATATGAACGGCTCTTTCCCGAGTAGGCCAGTTTTTATGATGCAGTATTACTCTCTCGTTTTTTTATAATTTTAAGTATAAAATATATATTTTTCTGTATTTTTATATAATTTTTCAGTTGGTCCAACAATTTTAAAAAATATATGTATAGTTTTTTATTTGTAAAATTATTAGTTTTAACTTTTAAATGATGATTTTTTGTAATAATTATAGTTGTTTTGAAAGTTAAATTTAGTAGCTTAGCATTTGAAAATATTTTATCAATACTCAATATCTCAATATCATTATTTTTTGTTAACAGTTTTAGGATTAAAGAAGTAAAAGTATATTTTTTAAAATTAATGAACTAAATTAAAACTTTATATAAAATTGAAATGCTAAAAGTATTTTTTAGCCTAATTTTTATAGGCTTTCCCAGCTATAAGTTTTTACAAGTTATAGTAAAAAATATCTAAACATTTAATATATCTTTTATTTTTACTTCTAATTCATTATATGCACTTTTTTCCCCCAAATTCTCTCTTGCGCTTATCGTCTATAAAATAAGGATATATCTGAAAATATATATATTTTGCATTGCTATCATTTTTAAATAATTTTAATCTATTTCTTAATATGCATAACTAGGTATTTTTTAATTAATTTTTTCAGTTATCTGTACCTATAAAAAGCACCAGAGATAATATAAAAACAACAACAACAAGTTTTATCCCACTAGATGAGGTCGGAGCAGAGATAGTATATATTAAAATTAAAACTAGAATCTCATTGCAACGCACGGAAAATAAGGCAATTACAAGGAAAATCGAAATATTATGTATAATGTGTAGAGTAACAAAAATTAGAGGACTCGCCACACAAATTCATCATCATACAGCCAGGTGAACAAATCCTCACTGCAAGAATAATATGGAACTCGACATTAAAACTTTAGAAGCAACCGTGTGGTGAAGGCTCTAAAACAGAGCCAATTAT